GTTTTCTTTCACTGAAGGATTAATGAAGTTTTACTTTGATTCTGACTAATAATGAAATAACAATTTATGAAGCAAGCTAGCAAATACATGGAAATATATTTGAGATGTATGCTTGATTTTACCCTCAGTTCAAGATCCATGTCTGTCAATGCCATGTTTAGGAGGAGGAACCTGCTCCACCTCTCTTGTCTCCTGCCAGGCATATCAGTGTGAGTGCCCAGCCTGCCACAGTGGGGATAGATGTGAAGTTGGTGAGTAATTTTCTTTTTAACACAAGTATATACTAATCAGTAAGTAAGTAAGTTCAGATTGTATGTAAAGTTATTTTTGAAGATGAACAAAGAACATTCACTGCTGTTTTTGTGCCTGTGTGCCTGTTAGCAAGATTATGCAAAAACTAATGAATGGATCATACAATTTATTAAAATTGCACATAATAACCAAAGAAAGATACCAGTCAATTTTTGGAGGAAAATGTCAAAGGACAAGGTGAAGGTCATGCAAATTCAATTCTTTACCCTTGAGTATAAAAGGAAATAATGGAATCACCCGTCATATTCAGGTACATTATTTTATTGAGTGCTGCCTGAACATGATGGGGCTATTCCATTATTTGAAGGTATGCTGCAGTTTTACCCATCATACACAGCCTGATTATTGTTGGTAATCAGGCACAGGTATGCTCTCTATGGAGTGACTACTCTAGTGTATTACATACATTCACTACATTGTTTCTGTTATTATTGTTTTGTTTTATAACCTTCATTTGTTTTTTTCTTATGACCTTTTTATGACCTTTCATATGACCTTTTACTTATGACCTTCATTTTTTTTTCTTATTTTAGTACAAAATCCTTGTGCCTTTCCATTTTGTCAAAATGGTGGCACTTGTGAACGTGTACCAGACACATGTGACCGAATCAGATGTTCCTGCCCTGCGTGCTATGAAGGACCGTTTTGCGAGAAACGTAAGAGTTTCCTTGCTCCTTAATTTCTATGATAACTGTATATGGATTTACTACACTACATTATTTATAATTATATTCAGTTCTACTTGATAGATGCACGTTGATAATCCATGTACGAGTTGAGTGACTCAGCCATATGGCGGGGTCTTCGTCAACTACAGCCTTAAGAAGTTGTTGCTAATTCTTGGCACTCGACTCAAGTCTTCTCGGAAAAAGATTTCAAAGAGGAGATCCACTGTACACATATGTCTCGTGAACTTAAAGAACCTTTTGTATCTTTCGGAAGTTTAGAGTGTTACCTTGATTATCTGGTTAAGTTCAGCCCTGTCCATACTCCAATTTTGTGGGTTTAACCTATGTGTGAAAAAAATAATTATCATCCACATTAATTTAGAAAGCAAAAAATAATCTAGTTGGTGATTTATAGTTAAATTTTGTAGTAGTTAATGATATTTTCTTTTCATACAGGAATTGATCCATGCGAGACTTTTCCGTGCATGAATGGAGGAACGTGTATAGTTGTGGACACATGTGTAGAATATAACTGCACATGTACAGGTTGTTATAGTGGCTTCAATTGTGCTACATGTGAGTCTATTTACAGTGTTAGATCAATGGTCAATGCTCGTATATTTAAATAGCACCTTCCACAGAAAACCGTCTCAAGGCACTTTTGAAGCCACATGAAACAAAGAAAAAAGAACGCAAATGGGGGGGGGGTAAGTGCGCACCCCCGATTTTGAGATAGCGTCGCCATCACTACCGTGTACATGCAGGTACCTCGGCGTCAGTTTGCTGGGCTCCGGTAGCTTCCACCAAGGATAAGCCTATGGCTCCTCTACCGTGCACTGCTAAGTTGGCGGCGCTACCTCAAGTAAGGAGGTGCGACTTTTCAGGGGATTAAAAACTTAACTACAGAACAACTTAACTACAGAAATTTAACTACAGAGATGAAAAAATAAATGAGATCAAGATTAGCAAATAAATGAGATCAAGATTAACAAATAAATGAGATCAAGATTAACAAAGATCAGAGATGAAAAAATAAATGAGATCAAGATTAGCAAATAAATGAGATCAAGATTAACAAATAAATGAAATCAAGATTAACAAATAAATGAGATCAAGATTAACAAAGATCAGAGATTAACAAATAAATGAGATCAAGATTAACAAATAAATGAGATCAAGATACAATTAGTATAGTTGTATTTCATACACGAAATACATAACAAATTGGTTTGCGCATTTGACTTGACCAGTGTCATTTTTCTATCCCAAACCATCCACTAATTAGTGCACAGTGTATTTTTGTCTAATGAACACCATGGGAATAGCATACAGTCAATGTTTACATTTTGATGTACAAATCTTAAAACTAACCAAAATCTATATATTTTTAAATAATATGTTTAATGCAGCACTGGTACTGTAGGTTGTAAAAGTACTTAAATTTAGAAGGAATCTGCTGATTTCTCTTTTTTGAGGGAGTTGTTTTTGTGTTGTTAAATATTTTTTCTATTTTTGTTATTCTTTAGTGTTGGATCCTTGTGACTCGTCCCCTTGTAGCAATGGAGCATTCTGTCAACGTGTTGGCACTTCCTGCACTGAGTACAGCTGCACTTGTGTTGGATGCTATGCAGGACCAACATGCGACATATGTAAGTCGTCTAAAACTTCATCATTCAATAACTGGTAAATAGAGGGCAGCATTGCCTTATTCAGTCACTGGTAAATTGAGGGCAGCATTGCCTTATTCAGTCACTGCTAAATAGAAGGCAGCATTACCTTATTCAGTCACTGCTAAATAGAGGGCAGCTTGCCTTAAACCCTAAAATTATTTTTCCAGCTCCTATATTAATTGTTGAATTGATGTCAGCTATGTATTTTAAAGTAGATAACATAAATTTGTTGAACATTTTATTAATACTTGCAGTGCTTGACCCTTGCTCCCCTAACCCATGTTTCTATGGCGGAGTTTGTAACCCAGATGGATGTACCCAGTACACATGCTCTTGCCCTGCCTGTTACGAAGGTGATCGATGCGAAACAAGTAAGAAAATTAAATGTAGACATACACATTTCAAATACTGATTGCAATAAATTTTTGACATATATTATAATTTCAATACATAGGTGTAGTTCAGATTTCTGTATATGTTATATATCAATTAATAACAATTCTTGAATTTTTAATTTTTAGCAGGATTGCAGTATGTTCCACAGATATTTCTGTTCTCAAACTTGCTTTTTTAGCAACTTTAAATACAAAATATCCTTGAAAAAGCTACATGCTTTGTGTTCTTTGTGTTAGATGAAAAACCACTAAATACCAAATATATTTTATTTTAACTTATTAATAAATTCTTCCCTTTTCAGTTATCTCGTTGTGTACAACACAAGACTTTTGTCAAAATGGTGGCATTTGCCTGCAGGATGCAGGCTGTCTCCTCACAAGTTGTCTTTGCAGTGAGTGCTTTACAGGCCGCTACTGTGATAAAGGTAATCCTTCAATCAATCAGTCAATTAATCAATCAATCAATCAGTCAATCTATCAATCAGTCAATCCACAAATCAGTCAGTCCATCAATCAGTCAATCCACAAATCAGTCAGTCCATCAATCGGTCAATCAATCAATCAATCAGTCAATCAATCAGTCAACCAATCAGTCAATCAATCAATCAATCAATCAATCAATCAGTCAATCCATCAATCGGTCAATCCACAAATCAGTCAGTCCATCAATCGGTCAATCAATCAATCAATCAGTCAATCAATCAGTCAATCAATCAATCAGTCAATCAATTAATCAATCAGTCAATCAATCAATAATCAGTCAATCAGTCAATCAATCAGTCAGTCAATCAATCAATCAATCAATCAATCAATCAGTCAATCAATCAATCAATCAATCAATCAGTCAACCAATCAGTCAATCAATCAATCAATCAATCAATCAATCAGTCAATCAATCAATCAGTCAATCAATCAGTCAATCAATCAGTCAATCAATCAATCAATCAATCAATCAGTCAGTCAATCAATCAGTCAGTCAATCAATCAATCAGTCAATCAATCAATCAATCAATCACTCACTCAATCAATCAATCAATCAATCAATCAATCAATCAGTCAGTCAATCAATCAGTCAGTCAATCAATCAGTCAATCAGTCAATCAATCAATCAATCAATCAATCAATCAGTCAGTCAATCAGTCAGTCAGTCAGTCAGTCAGTCAATCAATCAGTCAATCAGTCAGTCAATCAATCAGTCAATCAATCAATCAATCAATCAATCAGTCAATCAATCAATCAGTCAGTCAATCAATCAATCAGTCAGTCAATCAATCAGTCAGTCAGTCAATCAGTCAGTCAATCAATCAATCAGTCAATCAATCAATCAATCAGTCAATCAATCAATCAATCAGTCAATCAATCAATCAATCAATCAATCAATCAGTCAGTCAATCAATCAGTCAATCAATCAATCAATCAATCAATCAGTCAGTCAATCAGTCAGTCAGTCAATCAATCAGTCAATCAATCAGTCAGTCAGTCAGTCAGTCAGTCAGTCAGTCAGTCTTTCAGTCAGTCTTTCAGTCAGTCTTTCAATCATTCAATGAGTTAATCAGCCCATTACTCAGTCAGTCACTGCATCATTTTTTTTTACATATTTATAGCATTTATATATTTATTAATTATTTCATGTTTTTTTTTTACTGTTATTGTTACTATAGTCATTATACTATTATGATCTTTATCATTACAATTATTTTTGTGTCTACTGCTATCCTATGCAAGAGTAACTCATGTGAGTGTTTTGCCTGAGAAAACATGATTGAATTAAATGTATTTAAATTGAATTAAATTATAATATTTCTTATAATAATATTTATAATTAAATATTATGATTAACATTATTATTTGTTTATCTTTATTATCATTACTTTATTTTTTTTTATCATTATTTTATTATTACGTTTATTACTGCATTTAGTGATAGGTGATATATTTTAGTAATAGGTGATATATTTTAGTAATGCATTTCCTTTGTTTGTCATAGTGAAAAACCTGTGTAGTGACGACACATGTCAAAATGGCGGAATCTGTCAGAGTAATTGTCCGAACGTGACATGCGTTTATTATAACATTATTATTTGTTTATCTTTATTATCATTACTTTATTTTTTTAATCATTATTTTATTATTACGTTTATTACTGCATTTAGTGATAGGTGATATATTTTACTAATAGGTGATATATTTTAGTAATGCATTTCCTTTGTTTGTCATAGTGAAAAACCTGTGTAGTGACGACACATGTCAAAATGGCGGAATCTGTCAGAGTAATTGTCCGAACGTGACATGCGTTAATTATAACATTATTATTTGTTTATCTTTATTATCATTACTTTATTTTTTTTATCATTATTTTATTATTACGTTTATTACTGCATTTAGTGATAGGTGATATATTTTAGTAATGCATTTTCTTTGTTTGTCATAGTGAAAAACCTGTGTAGTGACGACATGTGTCAAAATGGCGGAATCTGTCAGAGTAATTGTCCGAACGTGACATGCAGCTGTGGGTCCTGCTATACTGGAGCTGATTGCTCGATTCGTAAGTGAAGAACTTCTGTTAGATTGACCCCAAGTAGAAGTCTGTTAGCTTTTGAGCACCCTCCTGATGCTGTACATTACTGGACAAGTCTGCAGGAAGAAGTTATCTACCTTTGGAGTACTTCACACTGCAAAAATCCAAAATCCAAATCTAGTGGCAGGGGTCCAAGTTGGAAGAAGTTATTTATGGGAGATCTTATTTAATGAGCCTTCTTAACACATATAACTTTATTTTATTGCACATGGTGATAACCATTGGCACTGTTTTCCATGAGACAATTGATAATAATGTAGTAAAAACATGTAAATATTATGAATTTGCAGAAAAGTAATTTTCCAGGATATTCTTGTTTGCTTGCGAGAGTTTGGGAGAATGTTTTTGAGAAATAAAAACACCACCTAATATATACAAAAAGTATAGGAATTATTAATTAGCACAGAGTATTTATATTTGTTGTTATAATTTTCAATTTAATTTTCAATTTGATTATTTAAATTAAGTATCATATTGGGCTTATACCAAGTGCTAACCTCTAATTCTAATTGATCATAATATATTTTTATGATTAATTAATTGCAGGTGTGAATTCATGTGGAACAAATTCTTGTCTTAATGGCGGTACATGCACAGACTTCTGCACACATCACACGTGTGCTTGTACCTCTTGTTGGAGTGGACAAAATTGCGAAACACGTAAGTTCAAAATTGTAAAAATGTTTAATCAAATTTTAAGTGACAACTTTGTGTAATGATAATGTCATATTACGCGCAAATATTGGCATATCATATAAAATTTAATAGTGTGGACATAACTTTAATTTTAAAATATTCTGTTCCTGTTATTCTTAGCTGCATTCTCTCAGTCTACTTTTTATTTTGATAATTAACGGAATGTAACCTAGATGCTTGTTATCATTTTAGCCATCGATCCATGTGAGAACAACCCTTGTGTTAATGAAGGCGTATGTGTGAAATCAAACGACTGTTTAAGCTTCATCTGCCAGTGTCAAGCGTGTTTTGGGGGAACTAACTGCCAACTACGTAAGTCAACATTTTTATTATACTTCTGATCTTGAAGTTACATTTAGACATTAGTATGATGAGAGGCTGTACTGTATACAGGGATGGTGATTTTGTTGGTTAGTTTGCTTAAAAGCCACACTAGGATTCTGTTCATTCACAACACCACTCTGAGTACGATCAGTTTCATGATTTTGTTTATCCATGCATTTAATAATAAGTTTGTTCATTTGTTCAGTTTGATATTTGTTTCATATATTAAATATTTTAATTTTGTTGGCATTTTTTCATCCAGAGTTAAATCCTTGTCAGCCGGATCCATGTCAGAATAACGGGTTGTGCGAGGCAGTTGCTAATTCATGCACAGAATCCCAATGTTTCTGTCCTCAGTGCTATACTGGAGAATTCTGTCAAACAGGTAAGTTTTAGAATATTTAAAGAGTATTTTATTTACAATTTTGATTTTGGACGATCAAAATTGTTTTTAATTGATTTATAAAAGTTTTTATTGTATATTTATCATTAAATTAAGTCCCCCTACTGGACAGGTCAAGCCCACGCCCCCCCCCCCATCGCTAGAGCTTGTTGGGCAGTCAGACCATAAAAAATATATAAATAGGCCTACACCAAGCCAACACATGTTTGTCACAGTCCGAAAGTGCCATTTCCGGCCATCCAGAGGTTGCTATGCTAATCTCATTTGGGAGGGGGAACCCTCTTTCATCCCCTTCCCCCAGCTCGGGCATACAATCTCAAGTCCCCCCTGTCAGACATTTGAGTCCCCCAGAAAATATATGCTAGAGCCGCCACTGATAATGAGGCTATGAGTTAATACTCATGGAGATTTTGTTCTTTCAGTGTTTCCACTTTGAAATGATTAATTTTTTTACAACTGTCTATTTGTTCAGGCAGTTTGTTCCAGGGTCTTATTTCTTGAGAATAAAATGCGAGTCCCTAAAAACAGTCAATTCAATGTCTATTTTATTGTTTTATATTTCAAGAGCTGGACCCATGCTCATCAAGCCCATGCACAAATGGTGGCGTATGCATTGCTGAGTCGTGTTTGGAATATCGCTGTGAATGCATTCAGTGCTTCATTGGTCTTGTCTGCCAAACTGGTAAGTCATTTTAAAGGTACTTCATTGCACCTTGCATCTACACCATGCCCCCTCCTATTTACCCTAGTTATTTATCCCCTCTACATAAATACCACCTTCCCTATATACTTTCAACTTAATCTCATTCCCTATCCATCTACACAAATATTTTCTCCCTTCTATCTACAGCAGAACCTCATCTCTTCCTTCCATCTACATCTCTTTTTCCACCTGTCCCCTCTCTCTCATTGCTGCCTTCTCCCTCCCACCAAAGCACAAACGTATATAGATGCTTGCAATTTTTTTTCTTTTTGTGTTTAAAATATGGATAGTTTTAATATTAAAAAATACAAATGAATGTAAAATAAGTAAATAATAAATTGATGTTTTGTTTGCTTTCTTGATAGAAATCAACCCATGTGAAACCGCTCCCTGTTTGAATGGAGGGACGTGTGTGTCCAATAATGCCCTGGATTGCTACGCATTCAATTGCGTTTGCCCCGACTGCTACACCGGTGGTCTCTGTGACATACGTGAGTTCCAATTTAAATAATAGTCCATCAGTAATTAAACTAATTAAGATTATCAATATAATTATGATGTAATGAGAATTAAAGATGCTTAATAAGAGATGAAATGAAGCTTTTTAATATGAGGCTTATTTGCATAAAAGAATAATATTCTTGAATGAAAATATAATGATATATTTTTGCAGTATGTCATGAGATTGCAAGTAATTGAATCATTGTTAGTTCTGAAGCCAAACATGAGTCTTTGATAACAAAGCATCCTGCAATCCATCTAAAATCCTTTTTTTTTTTAAATAATTGATTGCTTGTTTTTAGGCATTGATCAGTGTGATCCTAACCCATGTCAAAATGGAGGTGCATGTTACCAGCTGCAGGATTCCTGTACAAGGTACACCTGTCAATGTACTGGATGCTTCACTGGAGACACCTGTACTATACGTGAGTAATGAAAAATACATAAATACCTAAAAAAAAAAAAATAAATAATAAAATATGTAGATATTAAAAATAGTAAATAGGAAAAGTAAATAAAAAAAAATTAAAATTAAAAAATTAAAGTACATAAATAATAAAAATAATGAATAGAAGAATAAAAATAAAATTAAAAATATGAAAATAAAAATAAAATTAAATAAAAAAAATTTTAAAAAATTAAAAGTACGTAAGTAGAAAAATTAAATTTAATAACAAATAAATAAAATTAAAATTAAATAAAAAAATTAAAAGAATAGAAAAAAAATAGAAATAATAATTAAAATAAAGAATAGTAAATAGTAAAAAATATGTAAATGTTTTTGAAAAAATATATATAACAATTCCCCATTCATGTCAAGATCATTTTTCTTGAGAGCAGTATTCATAAGAAATTATGTGCATGATTATAAAACTGAGACATTCTTTTTCATTCATGTTATTCAAAATATTTTGATCTGGCAGTAAAGTACTAAATTGCATGAAAAGAATTATTATGAGACATGTTAGAAAGGCACAGAAGGTTAAAACTGACAATGAAAAACAAAGAAATACTAATTGAAACATACCTCAATAAAATTCATTCATTTATTTGCTCAATAATCGAGCGATTTACAACTTCCAATTTATTAATGCGTTTTTAAATTCAAATTTTTAAATTTATTTTGCTCAGTAATCAAGTAATTAATAGCTTCCAATTTTATAATACATTTTTAAATTTAAATTTTTGATTTCATTTTCCTTATTTTGAATTGTGTAGCTATCAACCCTTGTGATCAAGACCCCTGTGAGAATGGTGGTGTGTGCCAGCCGGCTTTGGGTGACTGTACGATGTTCCAGTGTTTCTGTGAGAACTGCTACACCGGTGATACTTGCAACATCCGTAAGTCTGTTTCCATAGATTTTGATGAATAATAATAGTAAATAAATAAGTGTAGAGGAAAATATTTTTTATTTCAAAAGACCTTCTTCTGATACACTTTTATTTATTTATTTCAATATCCATCCAACAGCAAATAATATTCACCACTTAACAGAGAATATTTATTGTGACTTACACAAGCACAAGCTGACTAAAAGAAGTGGTCTATTAATAGGCACAATAATAAATTGAAAGAAAACAACAGTACCAAAATTACCCACAAAATACTACTATTAAACAAAAACCTTCAACAATTTCAATTAAAAAAATGGACACATTCTCTTTTTTCTTATTTTACATCCTATCTGATATTTGATCTTGAAAAATTATTTCTAATTCAAGTTTTATTGATATTTGTTTATATTGATTAATATTGATTGATTGCAGTGCAAGACCCTTGCTTCACCAATCCCTGTCAGTCAGGGGGTACGTGCATACCGACATCTTGTACCACTCACACCTGCTCTTGTCCCCCTTGCTACACCGGAGTTAGCTGTGAACAGAGTAAGTACACCACTTAGAATTTGTTGTATACGTGTTCTTAGAATTTGTTGTACTTTTACGAGAGTTGCTGTAATTTTTTGGTTGTGGCAATCATTTTTCATAATCTGGTCCTTAGTTCAAATCCTGCAAACACTTCCACTTTTAAGGAGCTTTTTAGCTCTGATGAGGAGCTTCAAAAACACTGCTGATTGATTAATAGATCATAATTAGCTCTACTGCCTCTATTATACTGCCCTCATGAGGCTGATTGATTAGTAGTTGATTGATTAATAGATCTTTTTTAGCTGTACTGCCTCTATTGTACTGCCATCATCAGAGCTTTCGAGATTACGAGAACTTGTTTATTGAGACTTATGAGAGGTATAATACAGTAGTCAGATTTTGTCTGTCACACCCAACAGATTGTCTCTATAAGTGTACAGTGAAAACAAAACTGTGTCAACTACTTCAACAAAGAGAACTAAACAAAATTAGTCATTTAATAAGAAGTAAAATCAGATTAAGATCATGAAGAGCTACTTGATTGAGCAATATCTAACAAACTTCTAATAATGTATTTCTACCTTTTTGTTTATAGAACATAATACATGTATTTCATAAATAAGCTAATCATAATGATGTAAAATATTTGTTCCAGGGATTGAGCTGTGTACCACTAACAACCTGTGTCAGAATACTGGTGTGTGTACTCAGAATGCATTGTGTAACCAAATTACTTGTACCTGTGGAGCCTGTAGTACTGGGACTTACTGTGAAGAAGGTAAGCATTTACCTATATACTTAAAATGTCTTAACTCTGCTACAACCAATCTAGAGTAGTAGGTCATATGTAAAATTCTACTTTACTTACCTGGATAAACTGACTAATTGTGGCAAAGTCAAGCAAAGTCATTATCTCTGAAACAGAATTTGCAAGAAGTGACTGGTTTGGTTTGTCTTTGCCACAATTGCATATTCTCTCCCAAAAGAGAACACCACTTGAAATAGTAATGGAACAGTCAAACGATAGTAAATTTCTATCAGTTACTGTTATATATATTTTTTTTTATAGAAAAAATACAAAAATTTTATTTTATATTGATCTTACTTTGCAGTGGTGGATGTATGCGCCTCTGATTCCTGCAAGAATGGTGGTCTTTGTATTAGTGATTGTCCGAACTTCTCGTGCGAATGCCAACCGTGCTGGGGAGGCCCAACCTGCGAGACACGTAAGTATTCAAGAACTATACATTCATTAAAGATTTAAGCTTTTTTTTCACCATGTGATGAATGCACTTCCTTTTAATCCATAGTTCTGGGGTCTAATCCTGGAATATTCAAAGAGTATTTATCTCATGACTGAAACAACTCGACTTGCAAAAAAATTGCAATGAGACTTAGTTTCAATAATTGTTTTGTGAATACTTATCAGGATGAACAGCTAGCGGAACTTATGATGAATTGAAAAAATGCTATAGGGCGATTACATAATGTGTATTTATTAAATAGCATGACTAGGACAGTATATTCCATTTATTTTTAAAGATTGATTGATTGATGTATTGATAGATTGATTGATTCATTTATTCATTTATTCATTGATGGATTGATTTATTGACTGATTGATTGATTTATTGATTGGTTGATGGATTGATTGATTGATTATTTATTAAGCACTCAATTGATTGACTGATAGATTCAATAATTGATTAATAGACTATTGATTTGATTGATTAAGTTGGTCTGGATCGCCATTAATTTATTAAAAACTTAATGTTTTTACTACACAGCTGTTGATGTGTGCTCCAGTAACCCGTGCCAGGCAGGTGGTACCTGCACCAACTATTGCTCCTTCTATGTGTGTAGTTGCCCACCGTGCTATGAAGGGCTCAGCTGTGAAAACTGTAAGTAAATATTAATGATGAAAATGATAAAAATAAACATAATAAACATATTCAAAGTTGTAAATAGTGTTAATTAAAATGCTACAAAGCAGGTATTAGTCATTTTATGTAATAATGTATTTTTTTTAACACACACAGCTATTACATTTGTTACTATTTCCCATTGAAAAGTTGTACATAGTGTTAATGAAAATGCCACAAAGCAAGTATTGAGTCAGTCTTATATAATATGTTTTTAAACACACACACATTTCATTTGTTAGCATTTTTCCATTGTAAAGTTATACATAATGTTAATAAAAAAGCCAGAAAGCAAGTATTGATTCATTTTATATAATAATATATTTTTAAACACTATTACTACCTTGCCATTTGTTCAAGTGTGTTGTATTTTCAATTCTTTTACTTGCACATAACAACCACAGCGATATGGTTATATACAATATGTAATTTTTTAAATTTATAATTTAGTAATGTTTAATTTTATTCTTTCAAGATGTTGGAGGCTGTGCCAACGACCCTTGTCTGAATGGTGGAGGGTGTGTAACATCTTTGGAGATGTGTGAATCTTTCACATGTGCGTGTGTCGGATGCTGGCAAGGACCCAACTGCAACATCTGTAAGTCTACATAACAAATAATAGAAATGCAACCAGGATCATTTGTTTTTGAGAAAATTAATTGATTCATAATCAATTGTCTCATCAATAAAAGGGATCAAATTAACCTTAATAAAATTGAGACATGTTACAGAGGTGTAAAGAAGGGTCACATGGCCCCTGGGGGTCAGGCCTTCTTTGGACCCAACTATGTAGGACCCATAATTCAGAAGAGGTGAATTGCAAATTAATATCCCTGGGCCCCAGTGAAAGATTTGCTATGGTACTGACGAGCTACAAATAATAAATTATTAATATGTTGATGTCATTTCTTTAGTACAAGACCCATGCTCAGGCTTTCCTTGTAAGAATGGTGCGACCTGCTCCTCCCTCGGTGGATCTTGTACCGAGTTCCAGTGTGTGTGTGCTGGCTGTTGGCAAGGAGACACCTGTGAAGAATGTAAGTTTCTAGAATCCTATTAAGCAATTAGTATAGTTGCATATCATACACTATTAACTTTTAATATTTAATAATTTTACTAGTCCATTTTGCGACCTGAATAAACTAATCTATACCAGGATTCACTTTGTGAAAATGAGGATGATTATGTTGATAATATTTATTTCATATGCCACATTGGGATGGATGATTCCATTATTTCTTAGGTAAGTTCTGCAAATAGAAACTAATGTATGTACTCAATTTTTTCCTAGATTCTCGGCCTTGTGAACCCAACCCATGTCAGAACCAGGCAGTGTGTGTGCCGTCATCAACCGAATGCAATGGATTCCGTTGCGTCTGTGCTGGATGCTACACTGGAGAACTCTGCAACACATGTAAGTACAGAACACCTTTAAGTACAGAACACCTGTTAGTACAGAATACCTTTATTCACCATCAGTTGGATCCTTTCTAAATGTCGTGCAAAGACAGGACTTTCTAATCAACTAAACTCTGAATAGAACTCATTATATTGTAGTTATTTTATTTACTTTGCAGTGTTAAACCCCTGTGCGAACAGCCCTTGTACAAATGGAGCTATTTGCTTTCAAAAGGACAACACTTGTGATGAAATACTTTGCAATTGCCAAGGATGTTTTACTGGAATATTCTGTGAACAAGGTAAGAAACAAAACTTTTAATAAGGCGCTTTTTAGAAGCAATTGTATGAATATGCAAATGCCAATTGATGTTTGTAGTAATAAGTGTGGTAAGGGAATTTATTATTATTTACATCTTTTAATTATTTTTTGTTTACTTTGTTTAGCCATTGATGCTTGTGCTAGTGACCCATGTCAAAATGGTGGCACTTGCCAACAAGTTGTAGGAGGTGGTTGCCATGACTACATCTGCACATGCTCAGATTGCTTCACAGGAGAATTCTGTACAATACGTAAGTCATCTATATAATATACTAGCATATCTATGTTGAATAGTAGCAAAAAATAATTTATTTCTAATTTTAATATTGTTATGTATTTTATTTTTCTACAGCAAAGAATCCATGTGAAAATTCACCTTGCCAAAATAATGGTCAGTGCCGTCCAGTTGTTGGTGGTCAATGTGATCAGTTCTTGTGTAACTGTGTTGGTTGTTGGAGTGGAGTCACATGTACTTTGCGTGAGTACAACAAAATACCTTAATAATAATAATAATGGTCGACTTATAGAGCGAATATCATCGAGACCTCTATGATAAGAATACAAATATAATGATATTTAACTAGTCCTACTCCTTAAACTAAGCATGGTTTGGCCGTTGGCTCCGAAGAGTTCATCCGCACTTGCATAGTCATTGAAGCATCAGCCTTGTTTATTAAGAGCTCTTCTAACATTTGTCTCACTGAGTCAGTTGTAGAAGCTTTAGCCTCAACTCTGATTGAAACAACTCCAGTGACAATTAAAGCTTTACACAATTTTGTTTTAAATTCTAAAATTCTTCACTTTTCTCGTAAACCTAAAAGTTTTTTAGCTTTTTATGGCAAATAAATGAATTAAACTAAATGTATAGTACAGGTAGGCACGTTAGTTTTTAAATAATTCTTTAATTTTCTTGACATTAACAACAAGAAGTTCTGCTAAATTTAAGCCTCAATTATAATTCTCGGAATGTCTTCTTCTATACAAAGTTTTCCAGCACTATGCATACAGGTAGCAACTCTCTGATTATACCTTCACTACTATGATATTAGTGTTCACATTTAGATAACTAATATTCATTTATGTGTCTTTTAAAAGCTATTGATCCATGCAGCAGTAACCCCTGCGCCAATAATGGAGTATGTAGTTCCATTATCCAGTTGGATATGTGCTCTACGTACGAGTGCCAGTGTGTCGAATGCTACACAGGGATCATGTGTCAGGATGGTAAGGAAATCACATCCATTCCTTAATTAATTCCTTAAATAATGTCAAATGTTTCCCGCATTGATTATTTTCTTTTTCAATACATTCATTATCATAATATTTTATTTATTATAATTATTAGAATTATTGTAGAATATTTTTGTATCCAGTCATAATTTTTCTTTCCATTGTTCCTTTCAACTAGTCATCAATCCTTGCGGAAGTAATCCATGTACAAATGGCGGAACTTGTTTGGTGACCAGTTAATTGTCAGATTTCTCAGACATCCGACAAATGAAGCTGTCTCTTATACACATCTAGATGTGTATAAGAGACAGCTTCGCATGAGAGTAAGAGATAATGACAAAAATGAAATAAAATAAAGTAAATGAGAAAATATATAGCAGCGACTGCTTTTGACCTTGCCTAAAGAAGCCAAGGCCTAATGAAAGCATCTTAAATTAAAAATTTGTTCTGGTCACCTAAGTAACATCTCATTTTTATTAAACTTATGAATCTTCCGTGCTGAAGCTCATAAAGAACACCATGATAGTCACTTGTAACTTGTTGCTTGTAGCGCTTGCAGTTACCAAGCGCTGTGTGCCACCGTCCACAGTAACTCGGAAAATCCCCCCAAGCAGAGCTTGCGTAAAAACAAACCCAAACAAAGTGCGCATAACTTAAATAATGCAATGTAGCAGGAACCCCAGACAATAATGTTCAATAGTTATATAAATGAACAAATATAACTACTAAACAAATAAGATTTCAAGCAAGGTTAAAGAAAACTATTTTTTTGCAGCTGTGGACCCCTGTATGAGCAACCCATGCAACAATGGAGGAACATGTACGCAAGTGTCTAGTACGGCTCCTGGAACATGCTCATCGTATCAATGTCAGTGCACTCAATGTTACACCGGAACCCACTGTCAAACACGTAAGTCACAAACTCTATCCTATGATGATACAATGAAAGGCAAGAATTTAAATATAAATTATATTTATAATTGTTAATATAGTATAATACATACTCCAAGTATTGAAATGCATGCCATCATGTCGGGATTCAATATTTTGACATTGATTATGTCATCATCAGGAATAATTGTTAATTGTTCATTAATTTCTATCACTTTGTAGTTGTTAATCCGTGTGCGGTGAATCCGTGTCAAAATGGCGGTACATGCGCAGTTTCTTCTGATAATTGCAGTCAGTTCATTTGCGTCTGCCCAACATGCTACGCTGGTGATACTTGCGCTGTCTGTAAGTATATGCAATTTTATTTTGTGTTAGTTGATATTTTATTGTAGTGCCTTTATTCCATACTACAACATGCTTTTTACCATTACACATACTCATTATATTTAGGTTTTGGTTTTATATTTTAGTTATGCAAGTATACTTAGGCTACGTTCAGACTTGGAGATAAGCCAGGCAGGCGTTAAGCCCGGCTCAACATTAAGCCCGGCTTAACTTAATAATAATAATTGTCAACTTATATAGCGCGTATTTTATTGTCAGGCGTTCAGACTAGCGGAAATAGCTAGGCGAGAATTTGCATAATAATGAACCGTAACCAGGAAACGTGTTTCAAAACATTGCTCGCAAAATGTACGCTCGCACACAACGTACGTAATTTAATGCTGATTGGTCATTTTGTCACCTGAAGTCAATGCAAGATCCCCCGCAACACCAGGCCTAGTTACTATAGGAACACAGTATGGCTTGAGATTAGCCACCTAGTTCAGACTGCAGGTGGATAAACCCCGGTGAGTTGAGCCAGGGTTATCCACCTAGTCTGAACTAGGCCATAACATAATATAACATAATATATGATAATTTTTACTTTTTCAGCAATTGATCCATGTGCCAGCTCACCTTGTGTCAATGGTGGTGTGTGCTTTATCCAGGGTAACACATGTGGTTCTTACTTCTGTCAATGTCCTGATTGTTGGGAAGGGGATCAGTGTCAGACAGGTAATATGAATAAATAACCTTTAACCTTTAAGTAATCAATAAGTTATTACATCCTAATTTAATTACTTTTCAAGACTTTGAGCCTACTTTTACCCGTTAATGTTTTATCCTTAGTTGTCAACCCATGCCAGAATTCTGGGTGCGAAAATGGAGCCCAGTGCCTGTCAGTGCCAGGAAACTGCCAAGCTTACTCCTGTCAGTGTGCCGGATGCTGGACTGGGATCTTCTGTAATGAAGGTTAGTGAAGTTATTACTTTACTTGATTTGAGTATTTGCCAAACCTGTGGATTATGTAGTGAGGATAAGTGAAATTGGCATTTATCAAGTATGCCCTTGTGAGATTATACATTAGATGTTTATTTTTGCAATTCTCACCTGTAAGTGGGAGCAAAGCGTTCCTGTTGGACAATTGTTTGAAATAAGTAAACAAATCTTATGTCTGTAAACAGACCAGATACTGTAGGACATTTGACCTGAGGGCTTAAGCATCTCAGCTGTAATGGCTATAAATCAAATATTTTATGCTCATATATAGTCATGATTTGATGTCATCATGACCATATTCAGGCATGTCACATGTTTTAGTCAAATACAATTTAATAGTGGACAGGGCTTGACACTGGGATTTAAGAGGTTCAACCTCTAGTGACCATATCTATGCTTTCAGTGAACAATAAGCAATTAATATAGCTGTGCATAGTACACTAGTTGTTTTCACCTTTTGCACTCAAACCGGGAAAAAAATCCAAGCCAACTGTGCACTAATGAAAAATTAGTGCACAGTGGGATAGAAAATAACATTGGGATACACTATAGATGTATGTTTAGTACATAAAAGAAATGTAATTGAATTAATTGAACTTGTTTCAATTGTTGCAGCCATTGATCCATGTTCGTCTAATCCATGTGTTAATGGTGGAACTTGCATGCAGTCTGCCACCAATTGCCAAGCATATACTTGCCAATGTCCAGGGTGTTACACTGGTAGCAACTGTGAGCAAGGTAAGACCGCTAATTGATACATCAAATTTAATGTAAACTATGCAATTAAAAAAAAAATAGTCTGATTGTAAATTCTTATTTTTTGTATTTTTTCATGTTTTATTTAAATTTTAATTAATGCTTTGTTGTTCCTTTTTTCTTGCTTTTTAATTTTTCATGCATTGTTATTCCATTAGGACTCATTTATTTTTTTTCCCCCTATATTTTAATGTAATATTATTCTTATGTATTATTTGCTTTGTTTCTGTTATTTTAATGTTTTGCCTACTTCTTGCTCAGCTGTTGATCCATGTTCCCCATCCCCTTGCTCTGGCAATGGTGTATGTTCTCCCGTTCCCGGATCTTGCTTGGCATATTCCTGCTCCTGTTCTGGATGTTATTCTGGATCTGAATGTCTTACACGTAAGCATATTCTTCTTCTGTAAGTTGTTTGGTTAAATATTGAGCCAGTTAATGTACACAGAGGTCAATAGTGTAAATAAACCTGGGGCGGAATGCTATAAGCGGTCTTTAGACGGTCTTAATGCTTAACCAACTTTAATCGTGACATCACTACTGGTCTTTGATTATAGACGATTGCAGTACAGCGGTCTAACCAGTTAGCCGTTTCCAATTTTAAAGCCTACTCAGAGAAAGCTTAAAACGGTCTTAAATCATTTTCGTCATGGCTTTACAGGTACTAGACCTAGGCCTAGATCGTCAAAAACTAAAAATTGAATGACAAATATTCTGCAAGCTTCTCAGTGTCTGTAAAAACTGGCCTGTTTTGAGCGATTTTATGTTACCAGGGAGTGCTTGTTTGAGTTTCAATATTCAAAGCGGTCACAGCGTTTCATATCAATGGTCTTAGCAGAGTGACTTTAGTAAGACCATCTAATTGATAAAGTCGGCTTTATTTGATGAGTTAAGACTACCAGTTAAGACCGTTTAATAGCAATCCGCCCCTGTTCAGAAAGTGATTTAATGAACTTTTTGATAGGTGTGGTCATACATACTTATGGACAGTATCTCTGTAACACCTTCTTTGTTATACAGTAGTAAAAAACATGGATATGGGTTGGTTTCCAGGAAGTGTTGGAGACTAGGATGTATCTACAACATGCTGGAAACTTGGGACGCCTGTGTACCATTATAAAAATCAATATCAGCTATTTCTGGGCATGGAACTAATTTTCACCATTATTTATTTATCCAGTACAAGATCCTTGTAATTCTTCCCCATGTCTGAATGGAGCGGTCTGCACGTCAAATGCACTCACTGGTGATTGTGTCAACTACCAATGTCAATGCTCAGGTTGCTGGACTGGTCTAAACTGTCAAACAGGTAATTCCTAGATGTGTTTATATTTTTTTAAATGTAATAATTTGAAATGTTGAAATTAAAAACTATTAAAGTTATTATAAATTTATAGCATTTTCTGCAGTCACCCCTAATCTGCATAATAGTACATGCCCATTAATGGATGTTTAATTTCAGCATTTAATGGTTGTGATGTGAATCCCTGTCAAAATGGTGGCATTTGCCAAGCTGTCGGTAACTCCTGTTCAGATGTTATGTGCACTTGTCCAGCATGCTACACAGGCCAGTTCTGTGAACAAGGTATGAAAAGCCAATATGCCAAGATAATTTGTGTTTAATTAGGATTTCTTGTTTATTGGTCAAATGGTTAAAAGATGCTATTTAGATGAAATGAAATTCAGAGCTGTAGCAAAATATACAGGTAAAAAGAGAGAAAAATAATATAATTGACATTTATTTTTATTACAGCTGTTAATCCTTGCCTCAATAATAACTGTGTCAATGGTGCAGCGTGTAGCCCGGTCCCAGGGTCGTGTAGCTCTTACACATGTAGTTGTACTAGATGCTATACTGGCAACTTCTGTGAAATTGGTAAGTTTCATATCACTTGTATGTTAATTTTTATTTTAATTGTATGTAACTAGTTTATATTTATGTGCATTATTTTTTGGTTATTGTGTAATTGTTAATAACGTAATGATATTGGCTGTAGTATAGCGCATAATACTAGGTCTAGCTATGTACTTTCAATGAATGTCCAAAAGAAGTTGAATAAAAGGAACAAATAATTGATGAAGAAGAGACAAAGAAGAAAGAACAATCATCAAGAAAAAAGAAAAACAATTAGATTTATGAGGCAAGATGAGTTGTAAATCTGGCCATAAATTTGGAAATGGATGGAGATTCCCGTATATTAATGGGAAGGAAGTTCCAGAGTTAGCAGTCCTAATCTTGAAAATAATTTCCTCATTGACCTTTGACATGTATTATAATGAGAGAGACCACTGTGTCATATTTAGAGACATGGAAAAATGAAACAAAAACCAAACTAGAACCTGAAACCTCAGGTTGGGACCTGATGGGTAATCTCCCCCCAGTTCAAAACTCATTGGTGGGTAGGGGCATATGTAGGGGTTGTTCCTATGAAAAATACCTAACAAAGTCCCTTCCCCCTTTTTTTAATTTTTTTTTTTGTAATTGTATCATTGGATTCTTCCTTAAAATTACATTTTAACATTTCATTTGTGTAATTTTTCAATTTTGGGTTATTCTACTTTTATCTGGGGAGAATGTTTATTTTATGTGTTTGGTACTCTTATATATGTTACTCTTATGCACAGATGCAAGTTCATGTTTAGGTTCCCCATGCCTAAATGGAGGAACCTGTTTTCAAGGGTCAGGGTCATGTAACAGTCATTTTTGTCAGTGCAGTGCATGCTGGGAAGGCAGTTCATGTGAACAACGTGAGTGAATTCTTCTGTAGTATTTTTCTTGTTGAAAGCAATTGAAAATTTTAATATATTTTATTGTCGTAATTGGCTTATTTTTATGCTTTAATTTGCTTTTTTTGTTTGGTATGTTAATGAGGATTTAAACACAATAAATGCAAGTATTTACTTATTCTATATATTGTGCTTTTAGTCCATCAAATATCACCTTACCTTGTGCAAAACAAACAATAAAAATCAAAGGTAACAAATCAACAATATTGAGAGTTCCTAGCTTAACTGAAAGAAGGCCTATACTGAATTAGCAACTTTAAACGTAGAAATACTGTAAAATATATCAATAGTGGTATCATTATGTGTAATGGTGTTATAGTTAATATTAAGGGAACAATTTTACATTTTCAGTAATAGGTTAGTGTTCCCAGATTCAGATTTCTTTTATTTTCCACAAATAACATAAAAATATAAAATATATGTGGTTACCCCTATTGAAGGGACACCTATGCCCCTGAGTCTAGGCTCTACTGTAATACAAATCTGTGGTTGTATAATAACGAGTGTATTTGATGTCAACTTGTTTTTGTATTTATGTTGTAGCGATTCAGCCTTGTTCTAGTTCTCCCTGTGCAAATGGTGGTGTATGTTCCGTTGTTGGCCTATGTTCTGGTTTTACTTGCTCATGCCCAGCATGTTATACAGGGCAGAAATGTGAAACATGTAAGTTAATCAATTAAGTACGCTTTGTTGTGGTTCATGTTTTAATTGTAGCTTGCTGAGGCTGAAATCTTGCATCATATTTTTGTGTTTATTTTACTTGTTTAGTGTCCAGGATTCTAGCACTACAGAAATCAAATACATGATAATAAAAACATACAAAATATAATATAAAATTTATATTGAAAGTTATATTGAAATTAAAATACAATACAACATTATATATAAATACTATTAAAAGATTTAAGGAATAAGCCAATTATAAAATTAATGTTATAAGTAATAATGTGAAAAAGGTTTATGAATGCTATGGAAATGTGCTACAATTTCTAGAGAAATATTATAATGTTGAATAATACAATAGAATGATGAAAATGAATGTTTATTTTAATGTAAATTATGTTTATTTGTATGTTATTTTTTATTTGTTGTTAAATAGTGATGCAACCTTGTTCAAGCTCCCCTTGTTTAAATGGTGGTACATGTTCAGATGTTAGTGACTGTTCTGCCTTTACTTGTTCATGTCCTGCATGCTACACAGGGTCACTGTGTGAAATATGTAAGTTTTTTATATCAAACCAAAAACAACTGTGTTTTATATGCACTTCAAGAGTTCATAAGTTCTAACTAACTTTCACTTTATGCTACTCTAATCAATAATGAAACATGTTTTTAAATGTTTAGTAGAGTAATTCCTTTCAGAAGATTAACCAGTGGACAAGTCTTCAGCTCCAAGCAGTTTACTTTAATGAGACACTACTCCAAACTAATTAATAGTTACTTAATATGTTAATTTAAAAATGAAATTTTCAAACATTCTCTATCCATACTATTTCGTTTGTCATTACCAAATAATTAGGCTTATATGATGTAATCTTTGAAAAAATATCATCTGAATACAAAAATGCTTTCTTTCTGAACTAACTCCCAATGTTATTTCCTATCCCCATTAGTGCACAGCTTTATTTATTTATTTTTTTGGTTCATGTGAAAAAGACCAATTCAATATAATATTAAATCATTCAAAAATTTTAATGAATTATTTAGAAGACTATTTATTTAAAATTATAAAGTTATATATTTAAAATTATTTAGTTATATATTTGAAATTATGAAGTTATTTTAAGAATTATGAAGTTATATGTTTGAAATTTAGTTATATATTTAAAATTATTTGAAACCAAAAATTAAACCAAGTATGTTTTTTTTTAGTTACTGATCCATGTTCATCCAATCCTTGTACAAATGGAGGAGTTTGCTCATCTGCAGGTGATAGCTGCTCTGCATATACATGTGCATGCAGCGCCTGTTTTATGGGAGACAGATGTGAAATAGGTAAATCGCTGGGTTTCTTTTTTATAGTGGGTGACCCATTCAGCATATACTAGTTGATTTGATATTCAAGGATCATCTTAAATAAGTGAAATAATATGAAGCTTTATCAGCAAAGTGTCATTACAAGGCTTTGGGAGTGGAGATGATTTTAGTCGTGAGGAAAAATATTGGGCGATCACAGGATTTGAACCCAGGACTCTGGGATTTGAAGGCAAGCATCTTAACCACCAAGTTACATCTCAACTCCACTGTTCTTGAATTTTCCCCTCTGCTTCCATCACATTTCAATACATATCTGTGTGATATCTATTTTTAGGTTTTTTTTTAAATGAATTTGTTTTAGCACCTTTTGATGTTAACAGCATCATTTCATATATTTGAATATAGATGCTAAAAGGGCTACCCATATAAAATGTGGTTGAAATAAATAAATAATGAAATGTTTTTAAAAGTTTACCTACAATTATGAATACATTACTTGTTAGTTATGATGCTTACCTACCAATACCAAGCCCTTGGTTCCTAATCCTATAGTTCCCACAACAACTTTACACTCATGATTTAATAGAGCATCGTGTGCCAATATTATTTTATTAAATTTATATTTTCAGCTACACAAGGTTGCAGCCCTGACCCTTGTCAAAATGGTGGAACCTGTTTTGAGAGCGGCAATGGATGTGGTGACTTCTCTTGTCAATGTCGAGATTGCTATGATGGAAATACCTGCGAGATAGGTATGAGACTGCATGAATTTTCTAGGGAGCCCTTTTCAGTTTCTCTTTTGTGCTACTAACATACGACTTCTGAACAAATCAAAATGGTTAGGGAATTGTGTGGTACCGACCAGAATTGTTATACAGTAGAACCCCTATTAGGAAGACACCTTTAGGACCGAAAAAAGTGTCCCCTTAAAATAGGGGTGTCTCCGGAATAAGGTGTCCCAAAGGAGGGGATCTACCGTAGTATGTTATTGTCATACATTTGTTTGAGAACATCGCTTTCTAATCTGAGCAAAAACCAATGATTTCCTCCAGGGATTGGTTAAAAGTTTCTTCATTCTGTTGTTTGTGTTGTTGCCTAGTTACCTGTTTTTTTTTTTATTGTTGCCTAGATACCAACTCATGCATGAGTAATCCTTGTCAGAATGGCGGCCAATGCTATCCTGCTATTGGGGACTGTAACTACTTTGTTTGTCAATGTACAGCCAACTGCTTCTCTGGAACCTTCTGTGAAATTAGTGAGTCTTCTCTTTCATAATTTGTTCATTATTTTATTTATTTATTTATTTATTCTGTCTTTCTACTGCATGCACTTTCAGTACTTGTGTACTGTTTTTCAAAGTGGTACAGTTTCATAAAATACAAAAGTTAAAAGAAAAGTAATTAAAAAACATACATATATATAAATAGATATCATAATAAAAGTGATTAAGAATTAAAAGAGTTTTTAAAAAATATAATAGACATGTTCATGAAATTTGTTGTTGTTTTGTGTGGAAGTTCATTCCACATCTTTGTTGAACGATACAAAAAAGTTCTCTTTTAACATAACATCAACGGAAGTATAAATATCAACAGACAAAACAATTCTACATAATCTGTTCATTTGAACTTGTAAACAATTAGAATATTGAACATTACAATTTGACCAGACACAACAACAATAATCAAAAAGAGGTAATACTAAGGACTTAGCAAGTATTTTTAAGAGTATGGGGTGGAAGTAGGTATTTTATACGGCGGATGACACCAATACGCTTAGACAAAATATATAATTGATAATTAATTGTTTTCCCATTGTATTGTATTACATTTTATAAGTCAGTCGTGAGTCCATCACTCTAAATCTTAATGTTATTTTTTCTATCCCCAACCATGCACTCAACCATGCACAAATTTGACATTAGTGCACGGTTTGCTTGATCTTTTTAGGTTCGTGTGCTAATGATCAATTCAATATAATATTAAATCACTTAAAAATTTTAATGAATTACTTAGAAGACTTTATTTATTTAAAATTATGAAGTTATATAATTAAAATTATGAAGTTATTATTTGAAATTATTTAGTTATTATATATTTGAAATTATGAAATTATAAAAAATGTTAATCATATGCAACTTGACCCTTGAACTTTGGATATGATTTGACTGTAGGTTCGGATGTTTGTGCTGTAAGTCCGTGTATGAATGGTGGCGTATGTAATGTAGACCCTGTCAACTGTCAAGCATACACATGTCAATGTCCACAGTGCTATGATGGAGCAAACTGCCAGACAAGTAAGAAAACTTTCTTTTTGTGGAGTTGACGTAAGCCAGGGACACAATGCATCGTACGACTGTCAGATAAAATATCCATCTCCACTCCCATTGTGTGTTTGAGAACGCAATGCTGTTTGTGGATTGTTGGTTGCAATCTGGCCAGGTCATCATTAAAACCATCTATTGTGCGTGCCTTGTCGCATTGCGTTCTCTGTAGGAACGTGTTGGCTGACTTCCGTGGGTTCAGCGTGTTTCCCAATTTAGAGTATATTTCCCGATTTTTTACCTTACACTGACAGTTTTCTGCAAACAAGATGCATAACTTCAATCATAATATTAACTTGATATACCAGTACTTATATAAGTAATATAATACTTTATCATTGATATTGGTTTTTATCTTAATGAATTTATAGTTTTAGTAATAATTGTGTATGTGTAATATTAGTATTAATCTTGCATTTGTAATGCACCATTTAAGCAGTTGGTTTAAGACAGGGCATAAAAATCGGTCAGATGGCCAATTTTTGATTTTTTTTTTTACTTTAATGTTTCCAATGAGCTTCCAAATATCTCAAAGCACTGCTTTTATACCTCTTCATTCTCAGTTTTAATGTTACTTTTTACATATAATAGTTGTCTGGCCGTAAAAAGTAAGGTGTTTTCTAGCCAATGGTGCTTGACGGACTGCACACACAGGGTTTTTAATTCATTTTCATGGGCCGCAAAAAAAATCACTGTCGGACCGCATGCGGCCCACGGCCCGCACTTTGCCCAGCTGTGGTTTAAGGGAATTCTGATTTTTCTTGTTACAGATATAAACCCGTGTCAGAGTAACCCGTGCTTGAATGGCGGTGAGTGCATGCCGAGTGACTCCTGCCAGGGGTACTCATGTACCTGTCCCACATGTTACAGTGGAAATCAGTGTCTAACATGTAAGTCAATAGAGGTCGTACTCCTCAGATCTTTTTTATTAGCCTACTTCATAGTGCCCTTAATAATAATGTTTATTTACTTAACTACTTTTGAACATGATTCCTTTATAATATGATATACTGAATTACAGAGCAGTTTTAAGGCCTGTCCAGTCTATGAAATGTTATTAATCTACACCAAGTGACATGCTTAAGTATGGCACATAGGTGCATCATGACTGTAAATGGGCATACAACAGTTTCTTTGTCAGCTTTATTTTACCATGTTCAATCATTTATCTGAAATAAAGTTACATTATTATTAATAATAATATATAAATATCTCGATTTACATTAATATTTACTCAATGTTCACATATTCGACACCCAAGTGTTTTGCTATTTTCTATTTTAATACTTTTTATTATTGTCTAATGTTTTTTTTTGTTATCTATTACTGTTATTCATTCACCATTTTTGTTACCAATCTTCTACAGTTTCAGATCCTTGCGGACCAGTGAATCCATGCTTGGGTGGTGGTACATGTTCCCTGGATTCCACATCCAACACCTGTACCTACATCTGCACTTGCCCTGTATGCAAATCTGGAAGTAACTGTGAATTGGGTAAGCAACTATAGCACTAAAGCTCTATCCTAACTATAACATTTTATGTGACAAATATATGTGATTTACCCATATATGGACATGGTATGACATCTTCATGACCTTATTTGGATTTGATATGGCATCATAATGCCCATATATGGACAATTAACACAAAAAGCTCAGCTAGGTATAACTTTGATTGATCATTAACTATGATTTCTTTGCTTATTATTTGTTAATTGTGTTATAAATAACTGTACGAAGCACCCTGTGTAAATATAGACAATGAATGGAATTAAATTATTTGAATAAACCAATATTGCAAAGCAAAAGACCCCTAAAGATGAGTAAAACAGGTCTCCTAGCTTCCCCATGCTTCCCCATAGCCTTTTGAGATACTTGAGAAATATATACTAGCTCCTTCTAGAAGGATCTGTAAAGTGTGTTTTGTAGGATGTATATACAGGTACACATTCAAGTTTAAAATATGCTTTGTTCTGGGTAATGGGTGGACTGTTTCATTATTTTTTAATAGTGTTTTCCTTGGAAATGTTGGAAATTGTGGTATGTTACTTAAAGACTAATGCTGAATTGTGTGTCTATGTTATTATTGTGTCTATGTTATTATTGTGTACAGTAGTAAAATTTGATCTTGTTTTATTGTAGACATCAATGCGTGTGCAGCAACGCCGTGTCAGAATGGAGCGATTTGCATGCAAGGAAACACGTGTGACGATTACCAGTGCGTTTGCTCAGAATGCTGGGCAGGAAGCAATTGTGACATACGTAAGAAAATTACTATTAATCAAAACTAGTCAGTAATAAAAATAATTAATTGGAATGATAATCTGTCACGGAATATCACATAACTTGGCCTCTCCTATCTAAGTTCTCAAAAAATCTGATGAAGCCAGAACAGAGTGCTGGCGAAAGCTTGTGTATTTAATAATTGGAGCTAGTTAGTGCTACCAGTGTTTTAGTAATTATTATTTTTTAAATATTGCACAAGTAAAAAAAATATATTTAATTTGTTTAATTTTATTTGGCTAATTTTTATTTTAATCGTACGTATATCTAGTCATTGACAATTGTGCCTCATCACCTTGCCAAAATGGAGGTCTCTGTATGAATGGTTGTCCAATTACTGAAGATTTTACCTGTAGTTGCTCAGATTGTTGGGGAGGAGAGTTTTGCACTGAAGGTAAGAATAATTTTAAGAATTATTTTTTAGCCTTCCCTTGGTAGGAAGCTACATTGTAACTGATGTGCATAATGAACAGGTTCTTCTCAAGTGACACCCATACTATTCTATGAAACTTTGAGCGTTAATAGCTGCCTAATAATTGTGTGTGTACACAGGAAAGGGCCATGTGCTCAGTTTCTAATGGCAAAAAGAATAATCATAATAATTATGTAATACACAGTACATACAGTATGTATTAGATACATAGCCTGCTGGAACGGATGATTCCATTTTTATTGAAAGTTAAGTTCCACTAAAAACCTTGGTAGTGTTTGATTCATTCAGGTAAGTATCTGGAAGACTACAAACATTTCTAATGATTTGTGTAATTTAGCCAAAATATTTTTACCCTTGGTGAAAATTAAATCAATGCAATTACAGCTTTCATTTTACATTTTATTTTACATTTTGAATTTTTATATTTTGAATTTTTATGCTTTTTCAGAAATCAATGCTTGTAATGGCAATCCATGTATTAATGGTGGAACCTGCTCCAATTTCTGCTCCTTTTACATGTGTACCTGTGCCATTGGCTACTCTGGAGATAACTGCCAAAATTGTAAGTCAAGATCAGCAAGATTTTATAAGTCATATGCATGTATGATATTAAGGCTAAGGCCATTTGTGTTTATGGTTTAACCATCCATATGCATGCGTGGTGCCATATGTGTGTATGGTAAAGTCTATAGTCTGAAAAGTTTGTTGGCTTTCAGAATTATAATAATGATTATAAAAATATGTGAATACTTACAGCAAGGCCTTCACCACAAAATTTCTATAATAACTCTATACTACATTTTATTAGGTATCTTTGTACAATAATGATTTTCTTTTTTAAGATATCTGTGATAATAATCCTTGTGCCAGTGGGACATGTATGCCAACGACCAGCTCGTTCATCTGTGAATGTGACTCATGTCACTCTGGACAATTCTGTCAAGATGGTATGTTATTTATTCATGTATTCATTAATTAATTAATTAATTCATTCATTCATTCATTCATTCATTTCTTCCCTTGCCTTCCTTCCTTCGTTTCCTTCATCCATTCATTCATTTCATTTATTAATTTATTCATTCATTCATTCACTCATTCATTCATTCACTCATATATTCATTCACTCATTTATTCATTCATTCATTCTTTCACTCATTCATTCATTCACTCATTCATTCATTCATTCATTCATTCATTCATTCATTCATTCATTCATTCAATCACTCATTCATTCATTCATTCACTCATTCATTCATTCACTCACTCATTCATTCATTCATTCATTCATTCATTCTTTCACTCATTCATTCATTCACATGCTGACCATTCTTGGCCGGCCATGCTTAGTTACCCCGGCTTGCACTGTTGACAGGTTGTGAAGTGGCTCATGCTTTGTTTTAGTCCTAGGTGCTAATATATAATGGCTTATAAATTAAATAAATATTGTGTGGCCGCCTCTCATCAACATCGATGGTAACATAATATACACAAAAAAAAATTTACTTTTTAGCTGTTGCTTATCATTTTTGTATCTCTACTGAGATCCAGCCATTGTTTCCCACAGCATTGTTGTTTTCCAGTATTTTGCCTTTTAATCTATATATATATATATATAACTTTAATATTGAGCTGTCACTTGCAAGCTATATTGATTTACATTTTTTAATGTGATGTTCGAATGTTGTTAACTTTATATATTTTTTATTAGATGTGGTGGCGTGTAACAGTCTGAGCTGCCAGAATGGTGGTCAATGTCTTGAATTTTGCACTCACTTTACCTGTAATTGTACTGAAAACTATGATGGTCCCAGTTGTGAATTTGGTATGTTACCCCTTCCAAATAAATATGAGAAATATACTCTTTTAAAAAAATTATTATTTGATATGCTTCAACGTATGTTACCCCTTTCACTAAAATATGAGAAAATTGTACACTTTAAAAAAAATTATAATTTAATATGCTTCAACCTGAGAATGACTTCAAAGATGAGTAAATATTTTATTTGTATTCATAAAATATTTCTTTTTAATTTTTTAAGTGTGTTGTTATTTCTTTTAAAGACAAGAATGCTTGTTTAAGTGGACCATGTGTTAATGGTGGGACATGCGTTAATCAGGGAAGTAATAGTTACACCTGCACTTGCCCACCTGAATACACTGGTAACACCTGTGCTGACTGTAAGTGATTTAACTTGATTTTGATAATAGTTTGATAATGATTATGACAATTGTAATGAGAAGTTTAATTATAATCAGTGTACTTGTTTAGTGTACTTGTTTAGTTAAATGATAATTTTGATACTGGAAATTTTAAAAAAACAATTATAACGATGATTATTTTTATATTCATAATAATTATATTTAATTATATTAAATTTAATATTTTATATTTGAAAATGAAAATGATAAAAAATCATTTATGTAACTGTAATTTTTTATAACAATTGTTTTAATGATGATACTTATTTTGTGATTTGTTCTTGTCAGTGGTGGCAACTTGTACGGCAAATACTTGTAAGAATGATGGTGATTGTATATCGTTCCCTAACGGCTTCATCTGTCTTTGCAAGGGCCAGTGGACAGGAACCAACTGTGATATACGTTAGTATATATTTATTTACTATTTCATCATTAGGCCTACTTCGTTATGCCCATCTTTAACAAACCCTGTAAGAACCTTCATGTAAGGCTTGAGTGGTGTTGAATAGCTTTGTGGTAGTGATGCTTGCCATCCTATCCCAGGGTTGAGGGTCAATTCATGTCACAGTAACAGGATTATTATAATCAAAAACAATTCCACTCTCTAAGCCTCATATAAATGAGACTATGCAAAGCATCTTGTGTGTGTGTTTTTCTTTGTGAATGGATTGCCACTAGAATAGTTGTTATAAGATCAAGTTCATAGTCCACATGTCAAGTGCCCCCTCAGCATCTTATATTAGATGGATACGATGCTGTATAAAACTACACTATTATTATTACTATAATATTATAAGCTCACTGTCCTTGATATTTGTGCCTTAATAAATAATAGTACTACACACTGTATTCAGCTTGACCAAGTCATCTAAGAACACTATTCAATTAAACTAAACAATGTATAACGTGATAACGCCGGCTTTATTCGAGGTCTAGTTAAGACCGTTTCATAGCAATCCGGCCCTGATATTCCCGAAATGACTTCTTCCAGCATGGGACCCTTGATATTGTTCTTAGTGTTGTACTGTATCTGCATATGTACTTACCCACACCTAATACAGTCTGCAATAACAAGGAAGCAGTGTGTCACATTCTGTATTTTATCCTCAAAAATCTTATCTATATTTTAAAATTAATTTATCAGGGAGACCATGTGTAGAAAACTATACTATCCCGACTGATGACTCCCTTGTCATCCAATCTAATAATTACCCGGAGAACTACAACAACGGAGACAACTGTCTTTGGATCATCTCAGTCGCAGCTGGTCGCAGAATCCGTGTGTTGTTTGATGACTTCTCGACAGAGACCCAGTATGATTGGTTAGAAGCTGGTAATGGTGACAACCCAGCCGACATGTCAAGTAGAATTATTCGACACTCGGGGCCAGATCTGCCAAGCAATTTTATATCGACAGACAATAAAGTTTATATTCAGTTTATAGCCGATGATGACAAAACAGAAAAAGGATTCCAAATTACGCTGCAGGATGATGAGTTACCAAGTATGTTTTTTTTAAATTTATTATTTTAAATATTTTTTGTATTATATGCATAGTATACCTATCAAAATAACATAATAATATGGCTTAAATAATTATTAAAATTAGATTAGCTGTATAATGATATTTATGTGAAATTATGTAATTTAGAATATATTTTGTTGAGGGTTTGTGGAGTGGGTTTGTGGGGGTGGGTTTGTGTGAATAAGATGGTTCTGTCTGGGTTTTTTTAGAATTGCTTTTTGCCAAAAAAAGATTGTGGTCATTGTATCAGTTTAATGCAAATACTTATTATCTTTTTTTTTTGTTTTTTTTTTAATCATTTTGATTTACCTTTTTTTTGTACCACTTTAATTTGTATTAAAATTTAAATAAAATAATTGTTTACCTTTTTTCATACAGACACTAGGCCATGTAATAGTCTGCCGTGCCAGAATGGAGGAACTTGTTATGATGTGATTGAACGTTATACATGCACCTGTCCTTCAAACTTCATTGGGACAAATTGTCAAACCTCAAGTATGCATTCTTTTTTTTTAATTTTAATATTTTAACTTATTGATTGATATTTTATTTTATTTTTATAAGTATGTCATTCATTTTCAAAATTTTAATATCTTAACATTTTGATGTTTTATTTTATTTCATTTCATTTATATTCTTTTATTTTATTTTACAAAACAAACCGAAACAACAGACTGCTGTGTATAGGTGGGCCATGGAGGGGCATAAGTGGTCACATGACTACTGTCACATGGTGTGCCATTCCAACACTCAAAACATAGAACAAGCAGTATAATAAATAATTCAGAAGAAAAAAATTTAAATATAGTTATATAATCATATTAAGCATCTGTCAATATCAAATACTGTAACTAATTTACATTTACTACTAGCTTTTAAATTTCTTTTTCTGTTATTTTTATGTATATGTTTATATACATTGTATACATGTAAACATGTATATGTTTATGTACATTGCAGATGTGAACATTTTTCATTGATGATGGTAGTAGACCTACCGAAACATGTCTGGTTTGGGGCCTTGGAGGCCAATGCATTGAATATGGGCACTCGCGTATAATGAAATTTAAAGCAGTTGTGTTTTCTATCAAATGTATAGTGTATTCTGCTACTACATCAACCATTTTTCCAATTTATGATTAAAATTTGAAAGCAGAACCCCTTAGAGGCCCTGTTGACATGGCATATATAATATAAAAAGCATTTTTTTGGTAGATGGGTATATTTTAATGCTTACCCTTTGCTCTGTATTTAACTATTTTGATTGGTAATTTTCCTTGTACAGGTATTTCGAAAATTGATTATTGATTTTTTATTTTTGTTTTTTATATCTCCTTTTTTATCTCTTAAAATCAATTATTTATTTGGTCAAATACAGGACCATTTGGAAAACAGTTTATTCTGAAATGTTATCCTGTAAAGATGTTTTAAATAAAAAAATAAAAAAATAATGAAATTATGAAAGCATTATTTGAATTTGTACTTGATTTGTTTTTCTCCAGGTACCTGTAACCCCAACCCTTGTCAAAATCTTGGTACGTGTACTCAGGATCAGCAGGGTGGTGTCATGTGTACTTGCATATCCGGCTTCATTGGAGATCGCTGTGAGACACGTAGGTGTTCCAATATTTGGCATAAAAATGCTTCATTCTGAAAACAAGTTTTAAAGTGACATTCCAACAATCAGTTGATCCATCAATCAGTCAGTTAATTGATCAATCAATCAGTCAATTCTCTAGTAATGTACTTAATTCAAGACCTGATATAAAAACACAGTATTAACTGTTTGCAGTTAGTTGATACAGAATTTAATAATATTTTTTTCTGTCTTCAGCTGTTACCAATGTAGATTGCACGTCTTCTCCATGTTACAATGGAGGGACGTGTACACTAGTCTCTGACAACTCCATCACATGCCAGTGCATGCCTGGGTTTATGGGAACATTCTGTGAAGAAGGTCAGTAAATCGCATTTGTATATTATATATAATTCTCTGTTGTGTCTTTCAATCTTTTCAATGCTGTAAATGTTTAGTGAATGTATTTTTGATGATTTTTTTCTTTTAGATATTGATGAGTGTACGAGCAACCCATGTCAGAATGGAGGTACTTGTATTAATAGTGTAAATCAATTCTACTGCAGCTGTACAAAAGCTTTTCAAGGAGTTACTTGTCTAGAACCAAGTAAGTTTGTTAATCTACCAAAATGTAGAGAAAGGAAGAGAGCACATTCCTAAAATAGCCTCTAGTTAGGCCATGGAATTCATCCTCATCACCATAGGAATGTACCCCGGCCTGTTGAGATTTAGCTAAATAAAGGTTGCCGAAGGCTTCCTAAGTGACTTATAGATAGATAAGGCTCTTGTTTGTTAGTTATAATATCTCATATAATATGTTAATGGTAAACGAGATTCTACATAATAATAATAAACATACCTCTTTCCTGCTTGTAGATGGGTAGTGATGGCGACCCATCTCAAAATCGTGTGCGCACGTTTCTCTACATCATGCATGTTCAACAATTTATTTATCATAGTTTTTTAGTGGTTTAAAAGCGCCTTGAGATGGTTTTTTGTTGAGGAAGGCACTGTATAAATGCATGACCTTTGACCATTCTTGCAGTTGTTTGTCGTGAGAACCCTTGTCTGAACGGAGGCACATGTATTGTAACATCAAATGAAGACTTCCTCTGTAATTGTGTTGAGGGTTATGAGGGAAATATCTGTCAAACTGGTAAGTGGTCATTTATGTCTTTATATAAACATCAGTATTAAATTTGAATTTTTTGAATTATCTCAAAAATATAATACATATAAAATTAATTTTAAGTACATAGAAACAAAAATAATACAAATAGAGTAGAACTCCTATTAAGGGAACATCTTCGGGACCAAAAAAAATGTACCGCTGAATAGAGGTTGGCCGTAGTGTTAGAATATATACCTTCCCTTGCTTTGTGGCTGAAAAAGTGTTCCATTAATTGGGGTGTCCCAAAGGAGGCGTTCCAGAAGACTGCACACTTTGAAGAGATATTGGGGATTTCCCTCTAAATTCCCACTGAAATTTAATCACAGTTGTCCTTAAGTCTCCTGAACTCGCTGGAGTCCCAGAATTTAAATGTTATGAAGTGTTATGAAGCCAGCCCCCCCACCCTTTCAATTTTTTTTTTTTTTTTTTTTTTTTTTTTATTAAGTATTATTATTTATATTAAAATATATTTATTATTGTTGTTGTTGTAGGTACTATAGTATTATATTAGCTGAACGAATTTTAAGTGATTTTAACAGAATAATTTTTTTCATTAGATCGTGATGAGTGTGCCAGTAATCCGTGCTTGAATGGTGGCCAATGCATTAATCAAATCAACCGTTATGTGTGTGTCTGTCTAAGTGAATACACTGGAGATAAGTGTTCAGAACGTAAGTGATACAGATAGTAGTTTCTTAAAATTTCCTGCCATATCTTATATTCATATTAAGTACCACGTATAAATCCACATTCATTTATCCATCACCACTTCAGTATGATGTATGTGAATTACTAATACTATGGCTCTTGAATACAGTATTATTTGGGTAATAACAACATTTCATTGGTTAATTCTACTAGTTGGCATGTGGATGCAGTGTTTTTTTTTTTACAGCTCCTGGATACTTGAACCATATGGAAAATTTTACCCCTAATTCCCTTTTCCCTGCTTCCTTTTCTTCTGCTGCCAATTTTTTCCTGCAGCCTGTAGGCCCTATATATTCTTTATTTCTTTTGGGAATGAACAATTCCTTTAAATTTATATCATAATCTATTACTTGTTGCAGCTGTTGGTAGCGTGTGTGATAATGCTCCATGCCACAATGGTGGAACATGCCAGGCTTTTGCTTCTGGAACTGGCTATATCTGCTTTTGTCCTGCAGGGTTTGAAGGAACTCACTGTCTCACAGGTAGGTGTGCTTCATCTTGTATTACCATCTGGATACACATGCGAAAGTGGTTTGGCACAGAACGAACAGTTTGATTTCCCAACCTTGAGGTTGGGGTTTCAAACCCTCGCTGTGCATTTAACTTTTTGTTCTTGAGCAAAGACTGGTGTCTATCTGTATTGCTTCTCTCCACCCAGGAGTTGGCACCTGGTAGGGTTAAAATACCAAATGCGCTGATTAGCTCCTGCAGAGTTATGGAATATTCTTGGGGAATTGAGTCTGTATTCCATATGTATTTAGTTGGAAACAAAGGTTCCCTCTAAAGTTCTTTTGACACTATCAAATTCCATCAAAAAAGCATAGAATAAAATGTGATGGAACAATATCATCAAAATACATCAAACTGCCTAAAAAATGTGATGTATTTTTATGAATCTGAATTATCAAATCCGATTGGTTGGTGTGCTTTCTGGTGTTTACTTATTAATCAAAATGTGTTTTCTGAAAATTTGACAATTTTTGACGACATCAAAAAAACTTTTTTTCATACAATTTAAATTGATGTGATATGACGTCATCGTGCCCATATATGGGCACATCATATTTTTTTGTCACATAAAATTTGATAGTGTAGACAAAGCTTACAATTAGCCTACAATTAAGTCTGCCATGCAAACACCCTCATTCTATCAATATCAGCATTCATTTGTGTAATTTATAATTAATGATTGAATTATATCTGTAATGGCTTGATTGATTCCCCAGATATCAATGAGTGTGCAAGTAATCCGTGCGGAAATAATGGTTTCTGCGTTGACTCTGTTAATCGTTTCTTTTGCTCCTGCTATCCAGGAATTGATGGTGATAGATGTGAGATTGGTAAGACCTTTTTGTTTTGTGTTTTATGAATATTTATTTATTTATTTATTATTTATTTGAACTTTATTTAATGAGAATAGCCCTGCAGCTCACCATTAATGGAGAGCTGATATTAAATACACAGATGAAAAAGAAGATATATGGTGACAATTTTCAAAATGACATATCCATATGAAATATTAAACCAATGAAAAGAATGAATATCAATTCTTATAATTACATAATAAATAATGATCGGACGATGATTTTAAAAAGTAATAATTACAAGGATAACCCAGCGTTTACATTGTTTCTTTAAATGGAACACTCCTTAAAAATAATAGAACTGTCACAGTTTTTCGGTAATAATTACCAAGTATTCATTCTCGTTCCTTTATCCATTATCACTACTGTATGATGTATGCCATTTTCATTACAGATTTCAATGAATGTGATAGTAATCCTTGTACTAATGGTGGAACTTGTGAGAATAAAGTTAGCTCGTACTTGTGCGTGTGTAGTGCTGGCTTCTCTGGAACCAACTGTCAATTTGGTAAGGCCAATCCTACTTAACTTTGGCTCTCAAATTAGCAAAGTAGATTTGCATTAGTAGTCTGTTGCACTCTAGGCAAAACCAGATACACAGTGGCATATCTAGCATCCAGGGGGTTCGCAGGAGGCGCATCCCCTATGATGTATGCCATTTTCATTACAGATTTCAATGAATGTGATAGTAATCCTTGTACTAATGGTGGAACTTGTGAGAATAAAGTTAGATCGTACTTGTGCGTGTGTAGTGCTGGCTTCTCTGGAACCAACTGTCAATTTGGTAAGGCCTCTCTTACTTAACTCTGGGTCTCAAATTAGCAAAGTAGATTTGCATTAGTAGTCTGTTGCACTCTAGGCAAAACCAGATACACAGTGGCATATCTAGCATCCAGGGGGTTCGCAGGAGGCGCATCCCCTAAAAAAATTACTCGCGCTCCCAGTCGCCCCCAGAAATTACTGTCAGGTAGTTAAAAATCACCTTATTTTGCTATTTAGCACCCCTCAATTAATAATCGAGGCACCCACCTCATCTTTGCAACCCCCCCCCCCATCAGCACCCCCATAACAAGACTTCTAGATACACCACTGCAGATACAGTGTATTCAATGAACTTGTTAGTGCATTGCTTTTTCATTGTAGTGTAATAGATTAGAAAGCATTTATGGACAATATTTTATTTACCATTTTGAAAATATTTACTTATCATTTTAAATTACTATAACCTATATTAGTTTTTGTGCTTTTTGCTCTACATTGCATAAAAGGCCAGGCTATCATCATCATCAGCATCCTTTAAGAGGAGGTTTTAATAGTGTAATGTAATATGTATTATAAAGTACTAATATCAATAAACCTGAGTATAAATCAAAATCATGCTGTGTATGTTTAGATGTTAAAAAGGTGTGTTTTAAATTTGGTCTTGACAATAGCAACTGTGGGTGATTAGGTAATAATGTTTAGGGTTGGGGGAGTTCCAAAAAAGGTGACCTGTGTCCCTAGGATTTGGTTTTAACTCAAGGAATAATTAGCAAATTACGATCGGAAAAAAGGAGTGTGCAACATATTTAGTGGTTTGCTCCTATGTTTGGCACTTGTTTATAGATATTAATATTTGATGTTTCATTTAATAATTGACATCTTCTTTGTAAATGTAGGTAGATTTAGTTGTATATAATTCTTTTTGACACTACATGGTTCAGTTGAGTGGTAGCACCAGTGGGGCATGCTGGGGGAACAGGACCCCTGTTGATGCTGACAATGGTTCAGTTAGATTTGTGAGTCTGTAAATTCCCTTGTCATAGTAACCAAGTAACACTCACTCCATCAGTGTTGTAAAATTCTGATTATAATCCATCCTACCCGTGGCGGATTAGCTTATTTTGGAAACGGTGCCTTGGGGGTGCCTTTTTATGAGGGAAAACAGAAAATTGAAATAATTCTCACTGAAAAAAGTTTAAACTGCAACAATATAAATATGCATCTGATGTGCTAAAAATAGTATCAAATGATTTTTAGTACCCCATAGTATTGAAATAAGAGGTCTCGTGTCCCCCACCCATTTCCTCTAGTTACTGGACCGGTAACTCTTTGAGTGCCAATCCACCTGTACATCCTATATATGCTAATAGGTACATATCATCCTCCTGTGTAAGGTCTTCAATCTATAAGTTGTAAGATAAAAGATATAAGAATTGTCATTTGTGTTCACACTGGTATAGAATGTGAGCCTATGAATTACAGTAGTCTAGGAAAAAATGTTGAGGTGCTGTTTGTCTATAATATTCTATTACTATATCCATAACACATTTATAATATAAAAAGAGGAATTTAGTATTTTCTTAATATTTCTTGGTGCTAATTTTCTCTTTTCATGCAATCAATATTTTAGTTTGCATTAAAACATTTATGGTTGTTTTCTTTAGCCTCTCCTTGAATTGGTTATTAGTGGTTTTACAAGATTTTCTTTGATGTAAGTAACTGTCCTTATAGCCGCAATCTAGTGACTTCTATGGAAATTTGCACAAATATTCAGGAATCTAACAGGTTTTCTTTTGGTTTTTTTTGGTATTTTTTAACCTCAGCACAGATAGCAGTGACCTTTGTAAGGCTGGAGACCTTTACAGGAAAACTAATCCATAATAATATACAGGATAGCTCAATTGAATATTATAATCACATTAGTAGTACATTATTTAGAAATACCTCACTAATATATACTGTAGATGATAACAAATTTGTTGATCTAACTTTTTACATTAAAATGTCAATATACAGTATTCTTCTTATCAACTCTATATAGTACTCATACTCTGTTGAGCTATATTGATTTAAGATCTCAAGTTGTAAATATTAAATCATCTTTATCTTATTCTAAACCTATTACTGTTGGTATACCACAAGGGTCTATTCTTGGGCCATTGCTTTTTATAATTTACGTAAATTCTTTGCCAGATGTGATAAATAGTAAATGTATCATGTATGCAGATGATACAACCATATTGTGTTCCTCATCTGATCCAATCCGTCTCCAGTGTATGATCAATCAAAATGTAAATAAGTTTACTACATGGTTTGATAGTAATTTATTAACCCTCAACATTAAGAAAACAAAATTTATGTTATTTGGCACTAGAATATCTCTTAATAAATTTAATAATATTTCTGTTTGTATTAATGGCAATGATGTGGAAAGAGTTGACAATTTTAAATATCTTGGACTCACGTTTGATTCACTTATGTCATGGAAACAGCATGTTGAACAAGTTGTATCTAGATTATCACAACGTATTGGTATTATCCAAAGAATAAGATACTGTATTCCAAATTTTGCTTTAAGACTACTTGCTAATGCAATAGTATTACCCTGTTTTGATTACTGTAGTAATGTTTGGTCAAACTGTAACTTAGAACTTCTTAATCGCCTTCAAATACTTCAAAATAGAGTAGCTAGAATCATTCTTTATGCTGATATGTACACCCCTATAACAGAATTGATGTCCCTACTAAAATGGAAGAGTGTTCATGACAGATGGGAACATGATTTGTTACTTATGCTGTTTAAATGCCTAAATGGTTTTGCACCATCTTACCTAACAAATCTTTTCAAATTTATGGACACTTTTCACACAAAAAATACAAGAACAATATTCATGGAAAGAGAAATTTTAAGTACAGAACATCAATCTTGTGGAATAATCTTCCTGTACATATTCGCACAAATTTTAAGTTGCTTAGTCTAATTGAATTTAAAAATCTTTTATAATTTCTATTGTACATAGTTTTTACTTTAAATTTTTACCTTTCTTTTATTTTCTTGTAATGTTCCTATAAATCTGGACCTCTTAGGAGACCAGTACTTTATTGTATTGAAAGAGCCATTCAGAATAAAGAAAGATTTGTATTGTATTGTATTGTATTGTAATGACGATACGATTTTTGTTTATAGTGGTAGGAAAGGGCCATATCGTGAACACTCCTTTCTTTCTTCAGGGTGGCCATGTTGTCATTTCTTTGATATTGGATTTCCGTCTGTTATGCCTTACCGCTTTTCGGGGTCCCTCTGTGTTCCCTTGAGAGCAGCATAGCCAGTTGACTCCACTGGGCACTGAACTGTTGAGATCTCTAGATCCCCAGCACAATTCCCATTGGTGCTCTCCTTGTATTTCAGCTGGAGGGCTGAATACAAGTTACTAATGCGCACCGTCTTTTGGATGAGACGTTTAAGCTATTGGTCCCATGTGCATTATGGCCCATGTGCACGCTAAAGAATTTTTCTTCGGAAAAGAGTAGGAGATTGTCTCCTGTTGTACTACCCAATCACCACCATAAGGACTCTACTGGAAATAGTCTTCTTTAGAGTTTCCTCTTTTTTTTGTGACTGAATAAATCCATACCATACTGTACTTGGTTGAGTTGAGAGGGGTGGAGTTTTAAACTATAAAATTGTTCAGTTATTAAATACTTGCATACTGTATTTGTTAGTTTAATTATACGTTAATAAATTTGTTTATATTATTTACTATATATTTAATTGCATTACTTAAAAAGTATCATCTTCTATCCAATTATGTAAATTTATTCTTAGCAGTTGATAATGATTATTTAGAACTGATTTACAGTATTTTGTTGGATATAAATCAATTGATATTTGATTTTACTTTTTGTTTGTTTGCTTAAAAGTACTGAAACTAACAATAATTAAAGTCACCATGCAAACGTTCTGACATTAGCCTCATTGCACTATTTGCTCTGATCCATATAAGTTATACTACATTTGTGATCAGACTAGTGAAGTCACTGCTCTCTTATATAGGCACCATATTGTGTGGGTGGGTGTGTATGTGTGTGTGATGTTCCAGGATTGGGCACGTGTGTGCCTGGGTTTTGTGTGTCAATGTGCATGTTTGCCTGTGTTACAATGTTCCTGTGTGCTGATCAAACATTCTTTGCTTGTATAATCAATACCTTAACTTTTTTTTAATTGTCTGCATTCTACTTAGAAAAACTTTTCTGTAATCAGTGTTTTATGATCAAATAATTTCTTGCATATTTTTTGATATCTGTATAAAATCTGATATAAGTACATGAGGAGTTACTTTACATATCCATATTTAGCATAAGAAAGTATAATACATACTCCAAGTATTGAAATTTACGCCATCGTGTTGGGATTCAATATTTCAACATTAATTATGTCATCATTAGGAATGAAAAATTTTTTTTTTTTTTTTTTTTTTCATTCCTGATGATGACATAATTAATGTCGAAATATTGAATCCCAACACGATGGCGTGTATTTCAATACTTGGAGTATGTATTATACTTTCTTATATTTAGCATGTATTCAAAGAATTACTTTTTAATTATACCATATTGTAAATTAATAAATTTAGACTTGACTAATTGCCACTGTTGTCATTTTTAAGGAAAATGACCAAGATGGAAATGTAAACTGATGGATATAATTATATCTTTTTCTTTTTTTTTGTAACAGCCCCAAATATGGAATCAGCAGCAAACACCAGTGATGATGGCTCATTCTTTGTAGAACCCTGGTGGATAGGCATTATAGCTGGCCTTGCTGTATTAATTGTTGTCTTCCTTGTCATCCTTGTATGTACCATCACTAAAAGTAAACCGCCGTTGGATCCTGTTTTTCATACAATTCCAGAAAGCACATACGATCAAGATCACGAGTCAGTTTTTAGTGTAGAGAAAAAAGGTACATGATCTGAATTTCATTTCTTAAGCTGAGCTCTGTCCACTGTTGTATGCCCATATATAGTCATGATGTGGCTATATATGGGGATGATGTGATGTCATCATGACCATATTTAGGTATGTCACATGTTTTTGATAGTCTGGATGGATGGGCTTTAATATATTCGGTGCTTTTTTCAGTCAGTGCAAATTGTTCGTGTTTGAAGATTATCAAGTTTTAAAATCATTAATTTTGTAAAATGCATTTAAAAAGGGGTTCAATCAAAACATTTGTGAATAAAAAGAGGATCAAACAGTTAAACTTAGCAGTTAAGAAATTAATATTATTAATTAGTAGTATTGTTAATTAGTAATATTATAGATCAGTAATCGGACATCAAGGTAAGCAGTTAAAAAAAAAGTTTGGTTTTATTTTTTTAATAACCTCTTGTTTTTATAATGTAGACCTAAACATAAATTAATTTATATCAAGTATGTTTATGTATTTAAAAACGTAGTTTGACAGAGAAGAAATATTTGTAGATGTTTCTTTGTACAGTAATGTATTTGTATTTCTAAATGTTTCTAATCACAGTTTTTATATTAATATTTTAATATTAAAATTATTGTAATTAAAATTAATAAAATCAAGTATTTAAAATATACATTTTATACAATTTGAATACTTACATTAATATTTGCATTGTTATCATTACTATCATTACGGTTTTCATGTTTACTTAAAGTTTATTCAAACCAGAACCACTGGTCTATTTTGGATGATGTACAATTTTAAGATTGCAGAGTGGTGTATCTAGGAGATGAGTGGGTTTAACCGAACCCCCAAATTAATTGCATCCCCAGTCTCACCACCACCCCATAAACCCACCCCCAAAAAGAAATCATGCTGAAATAGTTAAAAATTACCCAAAAATCACCTTATTTTGCGAGCCTGTTTACCCCCTCAAGACTCTAAAATGCACCACTGAGATTGCATCAGTCATGGCTAATGGATAACAAGTTTCTTTGCAGTAATTTAAGTTAATCATTGGTGTATACTATCTGAAGCTGGGTTTCTAGTATTTGGCAATTAACTTCAGTAATAATAAAAAAATAAGATTAACATTCAAGCACTAAACTCTAATTTAATGTTCATAATAAATAAGTATTTATACAATTTGTTTAAGAATACAAGATCTCAATTATTTCCGGTGGATTGCAATACTTTTGTTCAGAATGACTTAAAAGAATAAGTCTTAGCAATGGGTATTAAACAATTGACAATTACTCTATAAAAATCATGTTTTACTTAATATAATATTCAAATTGTACTTATTTAAGCAACATACATTTGCATTTAAGCTTGTTAAGACAATATTAAAGAATATCAAAGTTCCTAGGATTAGCTACAGCAAAAAAAATTGTTATATAAGCTGCATAACACTTAAAGTAGAATGTATTTTTACTTTATTGAATATCTAAAAATTTTTTTTTTGTTAATTAAGGAAGCCATATTGGTAGGTTATGGTTGTATGGAAACTGATCTGAACTGCTACACAACTTTAATAGACCATTTATGTCAATTTATCTAAGCTGGATCTAGCATTTATAGCAATTCTGACTGAAATGTTATTTTGATTAATTAATTAATTTTCTGATACTTACCCAGCCTTCGTATATATTGATACATGAATACAACACATGTTTTATGTATGTTTTATAATGTTAAATCAATATTTTGTATATTAATAGAGGTGATTATAAGTTACCTCAATCTGAAGAAAAAAGAATATTTTTCCAGATTATATTTTACAACAAAAAGTATATTTTTCTGGTCTTGTTTATTTTCTATTTGTTAATACTGCATTCTCTTAATTTAAAAATAATTTTTTGAGCAACATGATGATGAGTAATATTTTTTGTCATCATTAAGGAACATTACCTCTACTATATTTTTATCATTAACAGACTTGAGCACTACGTGTTGCCATCATTGACTGACTTGAGTACTACTTATTGCCGTTATTGAAACTTTTTAAAATTCTTTCTTTGAACAACATAAATCATTTACTTGCAACATGTGTATACATATGGAATTCACTTTCTCAACTTTCCAGAGATGCCTCTTACAATACATGCCTTCTTTACAATCTGCTCCAAATTTCTATTTCCATAAAATACAAAGCAAAAAAAAATGGAAATCACATACAGATACATGATTGGGTGTTCTGGTTTTTAGTTTAGTTTATCAGTTTATACATAATTTTTCCTGGAACCTTACTCTGAAATACCAGGATGGTGTCCGGTGGAGAATACTTAACATTAGTTAATGGTAGTTTGAGTTGTCCTGAGCAAGACATTAAACTGCATCTGGTCAAGCCATCCATGACTAAACCGTCAACCTCCTTAAATGAAATATAATATTTAAATTGTTTTAAAAATGTTTCAAAACAAAAAGTGAATCAATGGATTCATTATTAGTTCAAATTTAGTCTTTGATAAATTTAAATCTTTAATTTCAATTTATAGAATCTAAACCTCTTGAGGTTGTTGATTTGTGATGATATCACGCATTACACTCAACAATTTATTAGGCATATGATCTGTAATCATACTTGGCTTCACAAGAATTGATGCGAAATCTGCACGTTTTGCCCACATTACTACATAATGCCTTCTATCGCAGCATTCGCTTCTGAAAAGTTTAAAAAAAAACAAACAGTAAAAACACTTTTTAACAAGGTATTCATTGCCAATCTTTTGGTTGGTGTCCACACAGCAGGCCGACCAAATTTAGGTGTACGTGGCCCTTAGATTTGTTTGCAGTATGTAACTACAGTTACAGTTACTGCATACATTAATCAGTTGATTGAATCAATCAATCGAGTCGATTGGCTGAGCGATTAAGACAGGGGAACCGTGACTTACAGCCATAATATCAGCGCTGGTTCGAACGGCACGCTCGCTTATGGTTCCAGTGGTGGAACAAGTCTTCTCGGATAAGGACACAATTGGCTCGTGTGCACTTTAAAGAACCCAGTACATCATTCGAGAAGAGTAGGGGGTTACCCCGGTGTACTGGTCCATCTCTAGTCCCCTGTCCGGCCACAGAAGGAGTGCTCATGACGCGGCCCATGTCAGGTACCCATCCAACCTGCGATTCCTTCTACCACACTATGTAAGCTAGATCATACACATTAGATACGTAGTGACTCGATTAGAAGAAGAATCAGAACAGTATTTGCAAGCAAGGTCACTGAAAGTAGTACGGTAGTGCAACTGGTCCAGCTATGCTTCACTCAAGGATATAATTGACAGTTTAATGGGTCATAAAACTTGATACATTAATTAGCAAACACCCGACTAGTAAGTTTAAAATGTGCTCTATTTATTAAGGGCCCTGTACACATTATGAACTTCTGTACATCCGAAACTAATCAAAACCCCATCCATTCTCCTTTATATAATCCATTATGGCAATTTAGTTGGGCCCATGATTAGAAACAATATAATAAGAATTGGATTGGATTGGATGGATTTACACTAAGGATAGCCCACGAAAGTCTAGAAGACTTATTTCCAGCTGAGTCCTAATGGCGGTAATTGAGCAGTACAACGGGACACATGGGCCATAAATGCACACTGGGCCAATAGCTTAAATATTTCATCTGAAAGACATTGTGCTATTGTAACATCTATTTCAGCCTTCCAGCTGAAACGCACTGGAAAGTCAGCGATGGGAATTGAACCGCGGACCTAGAGATTGCCACGGTTCAGCATTACACACCGACTTTTGTACCATCAAGTTATGTCTCTTTGTTTTGTTCTATCCACTGTGATTCCTTTCTTTACATATGTATCCTTTACTTTACATAGATAATAAAACATTGGTGTAACAGATGATGCGGAAAACGTTTTGTATTAAAAAAAAACAAAAAAAAAAAACGTCGAGACTATAAGCATAGGCTTATGTATTATGATCAACTCCATGTGTAAATCGACCCGCTGAAGTTGACTTACGACTGCTAAAATAATGACCCAACTGCTGGTGTAGTACTATTAATAGTGTAATTTGAAATTGCCATAAAATTTTCCAAATTGACCCATTTTAGCGAAAATAGTTTCTTGATAACGATTGATTTCAACTCGTCTCAGATTATCTGTGGCTTGTGAGATCAATTTTTTAATAGTTTGGCCTGTCAAACAAGTTAATTAAAAAGCAGTGCCTTAGAGTGAAAGAATGGTGTTCCCGGTAGCATTCATTCATATAAGGGAAGGGGGAGGGAGTGGAGGGACAAAATTTATTTAAGGGAATGCTTATTCCAATTGCCCTTTAATGCAGATGGTGACATTATGGATGAATAAGTTTACATGGTTACATAGACTTTATTTATTTTTTCCTTAACCTTTGATGTTGTTATCATCATCATCATTATTATTATATTTAGGCCTATTATTATTACAGTTCCGCTGAAGCTGTTGGGAAGACAGCGAAAGCTATGGTAAGCTAAACCATAGATATTATTTTTATTACTATTGTGTTAGGCAGTTAGGCATGCACATTACCAGATGGCTTATATCCCTGTTTTTTTCAGTTTTGTGACATGAAATATTTACCTTTCAATGCCTTCTGGTGTCTTTTTGATCAACACAATGTGTCCTGGAAGGTACAAACGTTTATTCTCATTTTCATCATCAGCAGCTGAAACAGCATCAAGATCATCATCGTCTGCATCACTATTGTGATCTCCATTGCCATGGTGATTGTTTCTTTGGTTGGTGGAGGAGTACCCTTCTGCATCACAGGTAACATCACCTACCATGTTGTCATATTTTTCGAAGTAGTTTTGGATGTCATCATTTGTAATCATCATCCGATCACAATCATTGAAGTCGGCACAGTCGTCACCACACATACCAATAATACATGCTTGCGTAAATAGCTTGATCTGAAAAAATAAATTGGATATGAGTTTGCAAATTACCTGCCAATAAAACTTACTAACTTGCAGTACTGTATTATTGATTTTGATCCAACTCAGCCACAGGTCAGCTTGGCCACAGTCAGATTTTGAAGCAGCATTCAGGATGCAAAAAGCCACTATGAAAGGTAACAGTGCTACATTTTAAGTTGCACAGTAATATGATATATTGTAACAGGCCAAGTAAAAAAAAAAATAGTTTCTCATCCAAAATTTAGAAAAAAGGGCAATGAGGGCAATTTTTTTTTTTGGGGTCCACGCAAGACGCTGATTCCAGAACTTCGCTACTGTTCTTGTTCTTGTAACCAAAACTTAAAAAGCGTCCAGCGTCACCAGTTTTGAATGGACGTGCAGGAAATTTGTAAACATAAACTGAAGGTGATTTCCAACAAATGTTCATTTCCCTTTTTTTAAGTTGTACCCCAGAGTTCTCCCCACACCTACAAAATAAAACAGGGATTTCAGCAAGACCGTACATTACTGCCATTACCACTAATAGGTTAACAATGTCCTCTAAAGAACTTACGGTTGTGAGTTCGAATAGTTTCTTGGTATTCAGTAATATTTTTTTCCAATTTAAAAAATTTTTTTTTTTTTTTTTTTTTTTTTTTTTAGTTTTAATATATTTTAATTTTGTACAAATGAACATTCTAAATAATATTTTTTGGGGAAACAGGTACTACTTTCTCACGTTTACCAAGTGGACACATTAAAAACAAATAACATGATTTAGTATCCCCAACCACAAACGATCGAGAGAGGAATTTTACTGAATGTGAGTTTTCGTGCAATTTGTAAAAGAAAATGACATAAAAAAAGTTAAAAATTGACAAGGCGGACAAAATGGATGCGCGAGGGGTCAAGGAACTAATAATTGTTTTTGTTTTGCCTATTAATAGAAGAAACATCAGACATACTTTTGATTTATCAGTTTCCATAAAGATCTTAATCAGCTGTAGTTTAATATCATCCAAGCTCTCCAATGACATTCTGAAAATTGTACAAATTTTATTTTATCAAAATGAATTAAATGTAACAAAATGATTTTAGTTGCAGTAGTTATATTTACCAGCTATTAATCTAGCTGCTCTTAACCATCTCTGATGGGAAAATAACATAAGTATCTCATTGTTTTTAATGCTATTTTTCCTTTCTGTATTTTTCATTATTCAGTGTAAATAATTTCTTGCACATTTCTTAACTTATAAAAGGAAATAAAAAAAAAAAAAGCTTTTTGTAGAAATCGGTATTTGTTGTAATAGAAGAAATAGTAAAGCAATAGGGTTGATAGTTATAAAGATGACACATACCTAGGAATTATGTCACTGCCCAGAATAACTGTTGTTACAAAACTAAGGGAATACTCAACTGCAACAGAGCTATACAATATAAAGAAAAAAAGAAGATTGTGTCATTTACAATCCCCTACCAGAGAGCATGATGAGATGATACAGTAGAAATATCCGAATTCTCTTCCCAAACCCTTCCCTTGCTCGGGCATACAAGCTCAAGCCCTCCCCCCTCTCCCCCCCCCCCATCGGACAGCTGTGTATAAGCGGACAGCTTAGCCCCTTCACAGATAATACTAACATACCTGACAAGACCACCAAAGGAGGACACATGTGTTGTTAACATACCTGACAAGACCACCTGGACAAGCAAATGAATAGCATTTAACATGTGGCCATTGAGGTTTCAGTAAGATTGACAAAATAGCAGCAGTTCCACCTCCAAGACTGTGCCCAGTAATAACCAGTTCATAATCGTTACTCTGAAAATTGAATTAGAGACCACTATGGGGTCATAGTGTGAAGTACAAAGGTCATAACAATATGCATGTTATTAATCAAATCTACCATTATTAATATTAATATTTTGCCTTTGGTATTTTGCAAATATTTCAAAATCTAATTTCATATAGTATCAAAAAATCAGAGGAAGATTTTCAAACAACAAACCTTTGCTTTTTCATATGCCTTTTCAATAAGTTTCTCTTGATCCAGGATTTGTTTAATGTTCCTACTAACCATTAACATTCCCTTATGAGCATACATCCTTAGGTTGTCTACAACCATTAATGTGCTCTCCACATTTACATCCGTAATTGCATCCTAAAATTATTTTTTTAAAAATACAAAATTATTTGATTGTTTTAGTTCACAAGCAGCATAATATCTGTATTTTTTCGTCTTCTACTCACAGGGCAATAATTTTGATGCTTCACATAATAAGCTGTCATTATAAGGCATGGTGAGGTCATTATTTGTCTTCAGAAAAAATTACCAAGACAGAATTAAACCCAGAACACTGAGACAGGAAAACACAAAGCTTCCCCAAGGTATAGCCATTTATAGTATAGTATAGTATATATGGCTATGGCTTTGGACCTATTTAAAACCTCCATTTTCACACTTGGCTTTTTATTGCTAACTTTATGAGGAGAACCTTATAGTTTTAGGTAAAATTAGGGCTGGTCACAGTTCAATTTTTATAAAACCTGACATTAGATATTACAATTTTCCATGTTAGCTTTGTATGCCCTTTTTTTTAAGAAGGGTGAGAGAGACAGTGGCGGTGGGCTCTGAGAGTGCCATTTACGGCCATCCAGAGGTTGCTATTCTTAAAAGAAATCTCTGAGAGGGGAACTCCTTTAGGAACCCCTTTGTCGAACAGTTTACCCCCCCCCCAGAAAATATGGTGGCCTGAAGATTTTAATAAAATCGTGTGTTGACCCGAAGTTAATGAACAAACAAGAACATTATAATGCACATACTATGAAATGGCTTGCTTCTTACCTCCAATGACAAAGTTCCACGTAAAGAAATAACGACAGCCTTGTAATCATGGTCCACCGCCACAAAAAATGGTATTTCATAAATCTAAAAAAAAAATGTATTTAAGAACAATGAAAATAGATTTAATATAATGATTTTAGTGCATTCCCCTTCCCTGGGGAGCACCCCTCCACTTTGAATTCCTGGATCTGCCACTGAATTAATTGGTTATTATCAAATAATTCGCAGATTACATTAATCAGGAATTTGAATAATAAAATTTACAATTCAATGCAATTATTTTGCTTGCCTTATTCTGATGAGTTATGTAGATAATCTGATCATTTCTTAAATTGTTCATTTCCTTGATGACCGCTGTATTGTACCCAGTGCAGGCCTCATCTTCTTGGTTGCCACAGCAACAACAAATGCAATCCTTATGTAAGCATAATTTACATATTCCACACAAAGGATGATCATACATGTAGAGCAAGATTCCATACGAACTTAAGGCATACTGAAGAAAATGTACCGCTGCTGGTAGTACATTTATAGCAGGTGTCGAAGGAGCGTTAAATTCTGGAAAGTCAGTCCTTGATGATGGAGGCATTAAACCTTGCATACTTAATCTCTTTTGCTGCTGTTGGATCACGATTAATCCAGCTAAAATATCCGATGCAACCACATCGTGGCCCTGAAAAAACAAAAGGGAATTGTAAATTTTGATTACAATATTCAATAAGTAGGGAAAATTGTAAACTGCACATCACCCATTATTAACACGTTGGCTGCCAGACCTTTTTTTAGGTTCTTTCCCACATGCTAAAACAAGTATACATGTACAAACATACTCTTTAATCTAGTCATACAGTATATTAGGGTACGAGTAAATATGTCGTCGACAATGGGATAGTACTTCTTATTGCCTTTGCCAAGTGCGAGTTTTCTCGTTCGCTTTTTGCATGGGTTGGTATATGTTCATAGGGCGCCCCAACTTGTGCAATCGAATGGTTCAACAATGTATATCAATAAAGTAATAAATGCAAGGATGTTACCTTCGTTTTGACAGGTACGGTCATCCCTAGCGCGCTTCAAACACCCAGTGGGACGATACTCATCACTTTATATAAAATACAATATTAAAAAACAAACAATCATTTCCTGTGTGACTCTCAAACTCCCATTCAGCAAAATAAAATACAAATTATTACATGTACATAAAATTTATATAATAAATACCATATACAAAATATAACAAAGAGCAGATTATTCAAAGCTATATTTGCAGATAGTATGGAACTTTTTAGCACTAAGAACGTACTTCAAACAATTTGGCAAATACTGCAGATGCATCCGCTAATGCCTCCCTCGCATTCTCATCACCTTTGACACAACAGCATAGGACTCGGCACCTGAAATTTCAAAAACAAGATTATATTTATTCCTGTGTGTATGTTTGTGAAAGGGAATGCTAGAAAAGTGATTAAATGCATATCTGGCCAATTTAGGACAATTTAGGAGAAATGTTTAACTCTCATTTCAATATTCAGAGTATAAAGACTCATCGAGTAGACAGAAAGTAGAAAGTGGACGACGACATTAGCACGGTAATTGTTCTTGTATATTTGTCTATTTTTTATAATATATATTGATATTTAAAGTTTACCAAAGTTTATAAAACTAAATCGATGACATAATAATTTATTCGTATTGCATTGCGGCGTACATTAATTTCAGGATTTTACATGCTCAACATACATTAGTTACGGGTTTGCGCATGCATATTTCGATTTTTTTACAAAAGGGGCGAAGCTATTGCATTGCATGTTGGATGCTATTAAGGTTATCCTAGTGCGGCAAAAACTACCTAGTATTACCTGCGTTCCAATAATGCCTTGGGTGATTGCAGAGATGATTTACACAATATTTGTTTGTGCAACTTGCGCTTTACTTTTTCTCGTATGTGGCCCAACGGATCAAATTTCACACAAACTGCGATCAAATTGATTTTTAATCCAAACCAGCTGAGAAGAACAATCGCTAAAATTATGTTCTTTATGGTGTCCTCGCAGGCACTGCTTTCTGGCTTCCAATGTGAATGTACAATGAAAATTCCAAAAACACTCCAGATGATTTCAATAATGTAAAGAAACAGTCGTATGTATAAAAGACGAGGAATATGTCGCCGTGGGTACACATTCACGATTGTTCCACGACTACTAACGTATATTATGAGTATTTCCAAGATAATTGTAACCATGGTAATAAACAAAAGTCCACTGAAATACACTATGGTTTTCAGCTTGTCTGGACATGATTCGAAGTGATTGTGACCTGTGAAATGTACGATAAAGACGATTGACACTGCTATCATCCTGTAGAAAAAAATAGAACATTCAAAACAAATTTAATGCAACAAATGTTGGAAAAAAAAAATTAAAAAGTAAAAGTTAAATTGAATGAAATATATTAAAATGAAACCAATTTAAAGTGGAAAATATTAAAAAATGTTTGCATATCACTGCCTAATTTCCATTTGAAAAAGACAGGAAATTGTGTAATCACTATAAATAATAAATGTTACCAGTAGAAATTTTTCAAATTTTAAATTTGTACTATAATAAAATAAGCTCCTTAAATGTTATTATGCAGTTGCTATAGATGCATGCAGAAATATACCCATCAAGTACTGTGAGCCTTGTGTGGGACCTGCTTTTCTCTATAGGCCTATAATTATTTCTTTTTAAATTACTGTTAATTCAGTTTTTAGTAAAGTGTAAAAGAGTAAAGAAGAAAGTATTATTACTTTAAAACAAAAAAAGGTAATTACAATTGAAAACAAAACCCATAACTGGCATATCAAAGGGTGAATTGGGGGGTGGGGGATGAAATTATACAGTGCTGTTCTCTCAGTCAAAAGAAAGTCAATGATATAATAAATAAAAAAGAAAACCTTACCACACAAGTCGAATCAGGAGAGATATAATAAAAGGCAGTGCAAAATCATCACTTCCTACCGCCCAACGACGGTTGAACGCCACCAGTGCTGGCATGTCTACTGACACTTCTAAATATTCACTTCATGAATCCTGAAATAAACAGTTGGCAGTACAGTACAATGAAGATCAGGGTTTTTAAATGCATTAATCTATCCTTCATATAATAATTTCCATTAGTGTATGATATGCAACTATCCTAATTGTATCACTATTTCTACTTTACTTACATTATAGAGCAATAACCGAAAGGTCCACTGATTAATCTCAGATAAGAAAGTATAATACATACTCCAAGTATTGAAATACACGCCAATCGTCCCTGATGATGACATAATTAATGTCAAAATATTGAATCCCAACACGATGGCGTGTATTTCAATACTTGGAGTATGTATTATACTTTCTTATAGAGCAATAAGGTACAGTAAATTAGTTATAGGTTTGGATAATTTATTTTACCTGTATTTCCTGGATGAGAGGCAGCTTAGTTTCCTATCCCAGATCCTATTCCAAGCTTAGTTTCAATTCCATAGGAATTGAAGAATGTAGACTCGCAATTTGATGAAGTACCAGATAAAGAAACTGTAGTGCTTCTTAAACAAAGTTCTTGAACCAAGATTGCATACATGCTTGGATGTAGGTTTAGGTAGTGGTACAATGAGGTCTTTATTGTTGCAATTAATATTAAGCAAAGGCTGAAGACGCATCTTTTCAGAATTGCATATTAGTTTTTCTTATCCCTTTCTTCATTTTTATAGGATAGGTGAGTCAGATGCCAGGTTCATTAGTACACCTGTGAATTATGAGCCTACCAGCTGCTGCTTTGCAGTAGTATTTAAACTGCAGGAGAACGTTGCAGTGATCGTGGTTCCTCTGCTTGTCTTTTTTCTTTTTTTTTTTTTGTTCATGGTTAGTTAGAATAGATCAATGGTTTAGTTTTCTTTTTTTGTTTTCTGTGGTATCAGCGCATAGAGACCCCGGTGTCATGCGCTATTCTAATTACATACATACATATGCAACAGTCATCCATTTTCTGGTTTGTATCCAACATGAGAGAAATGATAAACCCATGTGCTGGCAGTGACACATACCATTAGCAATGGACTGGAAGGACGACGACGACGACGACGATGGAGTAATATACACAATAAAAAAAATAATTGTGCAGTATTCATTGGGCTGACCACAGAGAAAGGGGGCCCATGCATCCAAAAGACGTGTGTTGAATCACCAGTTAAATAACACAATATTTCAGAGAAATCAACATTGTTAAATCATTTTCCTCAAGAATTAAATTTTAAAAAGTTACAAGTAAAAAAAAAAAAAATTTATAAACTTGTGAGCTTTTACAAAATGATTTTTGTCACACAAATTGCAAACAATGCAATGTCAGATTATTTGAAGACTTGCATGACCCTATAAATGCCAAATGACATCCCTCACTCAACTAATCCCTTTTCCAATGAAAACTTAATGATCTTGCTTTCCCGCACCCCTACTCCCAGTCTAAGCACTGGCTCTTGATAGTAAAAAACATGAATAACTAGAAATGCTACTTTACGCTTTGCGGTAAAAGATGTAGACTCTCAGTGGCGTAGCTAGGTGCGAAACGGGCCCAGTGCAAGATTAGTTGCTGGGCCCTTTGATAAAGGAATTATTCCTAAAGTTCACAGAAAAGTCATCGTAAGAATTGCTTCTTATATCCCCATACTTGTAAGTAACCCACAGTAAAACCAAAACTCACGTTTTTCACCATTGCAAGGCCATAGGAAATTGTCCGGTTGGTTTGGAAATGGTTGCCACAACTTGTATGTTTGTTAAAATGTTGTTACAATGGATTAGAGGCTAAATTACATCCTTTTTATAAGTGATGCACCAAATCATGTGTTTGAGTGTTGTATAAATATGTATACATTATGATACTTTAATTTAATTTATGATACTTTAATATAATATGCAGGTATGATAGGCCTACAATAAAAACAATCTTGAACAAATGTTTATATTTTCAACATGAATGTTGTCTAGGCCCACTCTATGTTCTCCTTTGATTAATGCAATGTATTCTTGAGGCAAACCGGTAAAAATAGTGCCTTGTAGGACATAGCATTTTATTGCCACATCTTTTAAAATGTCATTAGCCATTGTAAAGAACAAGTGGCGGCGCCAGGATTTCCCCAACGGGGGTGCAAGGTCCCCGGCGGGGGTGGGGGGTGGTGTCCCCAACAAGAAAAAAGTGGGTGTGGTCATGCGTTGCTAAAAACCTGTCGAGAGGTCCAGGAGACATAGCCCCCTCCCCTGAAAATATGCCAATTTAGGAGTCAATTTTAGAGTCAATTAATATGTACAAAATACATATTTTTTTGAATTTTTTTTTCTCCCCGGCGAATTGTGGTTTTTCCCCCCTCCCTGTAGCGCTGCCACTGTAAAGAACCTAAGTTACGTCCTATGTGACCCCCTTATTATTTATAATGTTTATAAATGATTTACCAAATCATTTGTTGTAGTGTTGTATAAATATGTATATATTATGATACTGGAACGTATTTTGCAGGTAGGAAGTTAAATGTTGGCCTAGTGACAATAAAAACAGTCTTGAACAATTGATTTTGTTTATGATTTTGCAATACACTGTATTATTCAAACAAAATAAAATATGAATTCCATGATTTGTTAAAGGTATATTTGGGCTTCGTTCAATTATATAGGTCTGGGCCCATTCTAAACTCTGTTTAGTGCAATGTCTTCTTGAGTAAAACCGGTATTAAGAATAATGCCCTGTAATCACAAACAAATACATGCTATTATATAATTAATCAGTTTATATTTAATTTTCCCCAAAACCTTACTCTAAAATAACAGAATGGTGTCCGGTGGAAATAATTAAGGGTAGATTAAGCTGTAGTTAAGTAGTTCTGGGCAAGACATTAAGCTGCATCTGGTTGAGCTGTCCAACAACATTTTCTCACACAAAATATTTAAATTGTAAAAAAAATCTTTAAAAACAAATGAAAAAGTGAAAAGTTCTAATACTTATTTCATTATTAATTTTGTACAATTACAAATTTAGTCTTTGATAAATTCAAATATTTTATTTCAGTTCATAGCATCTAAACCTCTTGAAGTTGTTGATTTGTGATGATGTCACGCATTGCATTCATCAAGTTATGAGGTATATGGTCTGTAATCATACTTGGCTTCACAAGAATTGATGAGAAATCTGCATGTTTTGCCCACGTTGCTACAAAATGCCTTCTACCACAGCATGAGCTTCTGGAAAATTTAAAAAATGTAAAAACGCTATAAATTCCGGATATTCAACCTTTTTAACTTGGTATTCATTACCAATATGTTAGTTTCAGAGCGTGCCGAAAATATTCTGTACTACTGTATTTGGTCATAACCCCATCCATTCTCTTATGAAAGACAATATATACCATAGGTCTATCTCAGAGTAAAACATTGGTGAAAGAATGGTGTTGATTTCATTAGTATTGTTCATCCATGTAAGGGAGGAGAAAAATGATTCAAGGGGCTGATGATGTGAATGATTAAAGTGCCCTTTATTGTAGAAGGTCACTTTTGATGTTATCATCATCAACATCATCATCATCATCATCATCATAATCATCATTATTGTTATGTTAGGCATGCAAACTACCAGATGGCTTATATCCCTGATTTCTTTCAATTTTGTGACATGAAATATTTACCTTTCAATACCTTCTGATATCTTTTTGATCCACAAAATTTGGCCTGGAAGGTACAAAAATTTATTCTCATCTTCATCATCAGCAGCAAAACTAGCATCAACATCATCATCTGCATCACTGTTGTGATCTCCATTGCCATGATAATTGTTTCTCTGATAAAGGGATGAGTTCTCTTCTGCATCAAAGGCAACGTCACCTATCATGTGGTCATATTGTTCAAAGTAATTTTGATTGTCTTCATCAGTTATAACCGCCATCCGATCACAATCATTAAGGTCGGCTGAGTCGTCACCACACATACCGTTAATACATGCTTGTGTAAGTAGCTTGATCTGAAAAAATAAATTGCATCAAATTTTGGAAATTATATGCCAATAAAACTTATTTACAATACTGTATTATTCATTTATTGTACAGGTGTTTACAGAAGCACCATACAGGTGTTTTAATATTATTCATGATTATTTGGTATTTTACATATTTAGCTGTTTATAGGTAGTTTACATATTCAGGTGTTTATAGGGGTTTTACATTTCATGCATGTACAAATAATTTATGTATTATAATATTTGTGTATTGCAGGTGTTTTGATGCAATTTACATATCTCTCAGGGCCAATACGGCTTATTCAAGCCATGAGCATTACATAATCATGTTTTATTTTATTTATACACAGGTGTTCTATATTCATAGTTGAGACTCATGCGTGTAACCCACACACGGTCATAACTTTGATAGTCAGTGCAAGTGAGAATGCGGTCGTAGAATGATTGGAATTTGAAGTATTGTTCAAGATGCAAAAAGCCACTATGAAAGGTAACAGTTTTCTTGCTACATTTTAAGTTGTGCAGTATATGATATATTGTAACATTTGATCGAGGAATCTTCTTCCAAGTCCTCTAGGTCTGTGACTACATCCATTTACAAAATATTAGAAGAAATATCCAACATACTTTTGATTTATCAGTTTCCATAAAGACCTTAATCAGCTGTAGTTTTATATCATCCAAACTCTCCAATGACATTCTGAAAATTATGAAAACTTTATTTTATTCATCCAAAATGTAACAAAATGATTACGATTATAGTTACAATATTTGTATTTACCAGTTAAATCAGTCCCTCCCCCCTCGCTCAATCGAATAAATGTATAATGCGCTGGTATCCATTAGGGCCTTTAGTATTATGGTGATGATGATAATATAGTAGTATGATACTTACCTAGAAATAAGATCACTGCCCAGAATTACTGTTGTTACAAAACTACGGGAATACTCAACCGCAACAGAGCTATATAATATCAAGAAAATAAAGAATGTATCATGTAAAATCTAATACCAGATAGCATATACATAACAGAAAACCAATTTTTAAGCCCTGAAGTGGTCGCAGTCATTTATGAGAAGGTAACCAATATTAATTAGTACTCCCCTAAATTGTACTAAGAAAATGATTGTTGTATTGTATTGTTGATATGAACATAGTCTGTCTCTTATACACATCTAGATGTGTATAAGAGACAGGGTTTAACCAAGCTACAATGCCACTTAATTTTTTTTAATATTTAGTTTTTTATTTTTTTATTTAATTATTTTTATTTAATTCTTTGTATTTATTTATTTTAAAAAAATAAAAACCAACATTACTTATTTTAATTCCAACAATTAATTTCAGATTAGAATGAAAAGAAATTTTCACTGATGTACAGATGATCTACTAACATTGTCAAACTTTTCTGGGGAAGTGACTCTAAAGCTGGGAACTCACTTCATCGTACGACCGTCGGCCGATGAATCCAACTCTTTCTGATGACGTGTGGCATTCTAGATAGAATCGTGTTGGCTGACGAAACTCAGGCGCAATGAATGACCAGGACATGCGTTATTAACATACCTGACAAGACCACCAAGGGAGGTCATGTGTTATTAACATACCTGACAAGACCACCAGGAGAAGCGAACGCATAGCATTGAACATTTGGCCATTGAGGTTTCAGTAAGATTGCCAAAATAGCAGCAGCTCCACCTCCAAGACTGTGCCCAGTAATAACCAGTTCATAATCTTTGCTCTGTAAATTGAATAAGAGACCACTGTGGGGTCATAATGTGAAGTACAAAGGTCATAACAATATGCATGTTATTAATCAAAGCTACCATTATTAATATTAATATTTTGCCATTGGAATCTTGCAAATATTTTCAAAATCAATGTAAATTCTAAAAGTATCAAGAAATCAGATAAAGATTTTCAAACAACAAACCTTAGCTTTTTCATATGCCTTTTCAATAAGTTTCTCTTGATCCAGGATTTGTTTAATGTTCCTACTAACCATCAATATTCCCTTATGTGCATACATTCTTTGATTGTCTACAATCATTACCGTGCTCTCCGCATTTGCATCCGTAAGTGCATCCTAAAATTTTAAAAAAATTACAAAAGATTCTAAAAAATTATTGGATTTTTTTAGCTCACAACCAACAAGTATATTCACTAATTTTAGGATGTAATTTTCTTCTTCTACTTACAGGACAATAGTTATGATGCTTCACACAATAACCTGTCATTATAAGGCTTGAGATCATTATTGGTCATCAGAAAAAACTACAGTGACAGGAATTGAACCCAGAACCCTAAGATTGAATGGCAAGCAACAACCAGCTATAGCTCCTCCAAGGTGCAGTATAGTCACTTATACTACATAAATAGTTTTAACATTGGCTTCTGGGGTGGATGCAGGGGGGTGGAGACAGTGCAATCACACCCGGCCCCCTAAATGGTACAAGAAAATAATTGTTGTATTGTATTGTTGATATGAACATAGTACCGGTAAAATTTTTAAGTATGACAGACTGAGAGCGCAATTTTTGGGTAGATAGATGTCCACATTTTCAAAATGTTCTCACCTCAGCCCCAACCATGGTGGGGCTGAGGTGGTGTGAACTCCCAGATACCTCTTACCACCAAATCTTGCATCCGCCCCAGGGCTTTAGGCTTATGCATTTTTGGACCTAATTAAAACCTCCATTTTCACACTTTGCTTTTTAATGTTAACTTTATGAGGAGAACCTTATAGTTTCAAGTAAATTAGGCTGGTCACAGTCCAATTTTTATAAAACCTGTCATTAGATATGCAGAGAACGTAGGACGCAAGGTAGAAAGGTCACGCATGAGTGATTCCGTTCTAGCGTCGCATCGTCGCACAAATCGAAATCTCCCTATTACAATTTTCCATGATTGCTTTGTATACACTTTTTATAAGGATCAGAGTCTGATTTTATTGGAAAAATTATTCCGATCTTAAATTGATCTTATTATTTAGAAATGTCACTATACAAAGTGATTTATCCAAATTTATTTGTCCTTATCAAAGATGATGTCACTTTTTCTATGGTCTGGTGGCCTAAAGATTTTAATAATGTGTGTTGACCTGAACTTAAACAAACAAACAAGAACATTATAATGCACATGAAACTATGAGATGGCTTCCTTCTTACCTCCACTGACAACGTTCCACGTAAAGAAATAACGACAGCCTTATAATCATGGTCCACCGCCACAAAAAAGGGTATTTCATAGATCTAAAAAAAATATTTAAAAACAATGGAAAAAAGATTTAATATAATGATTTTATTTTTTTACCCCACCCTGCCCCCTTTAATTTGAATTCCTGGATCTGCCATTAAATTGATTGGTTTTGCTACTTTCAGTCCTTATAGTCATGAAGATTATCAAAATACTGCAAATTACATTAATCAGAAATTGGAATTTTAAAATTTACAATTCAATGCAATTATTTTGCTTGCCTTATTCTGATGAGTTATGTAGATAATCTGATCATTTCTCAAATTGTTCATTTCCTTGATGACCGCTGTATTGTACCCAGTGCAGCCCTCATCTTCTTGGTTGCCACAGCAACAACAAATGCAATCCTTGTGTAAGCATAATTTACATATTCCAAATGAAAGATGATCAAATAGGTAGAACAAGAATCCATATGAACTTAAGGCATACTGAAGAAAATGTACTGCCGTCGGTAATATATTTATTTCAGGTGTCGAAGGAGAGTTAAATTCTGGAAAGTCAGTCCTTGATGATTGAGGCATTAAACCTTGCAATCTTAATCTCTTTTGCTGCTGTTGAATCACAGTTAATCCAGCTAAAATATCCGATGCAACCACATCGTGATCCTGTGAAAAAGAAAAGAAAATTATAGACTTCAATAAAAAAAAAAAAATAAATAATAAATAATAATATACATATATATATATATATATATATATATATATATATATATATAATTAATATATTTAATAAGTAGGGAAAATCCTATAAATAAAAGTGTTAATTTTATTTTATTACTTAACATAAAATACAACATTAAAAAAAGAAAAAAAATCGTTTTCTGTGTGGCTCTCCAAGCCCTTCCTACAAAATATAATACATATTATTTATTGTACACAAATTTGTAAAATAAATTACCAAATATAAACTATTACAAATAGCAAGTCATATCTGTAGAATAGTATGGAACTTATTTTTGTAGAATATTAAGGCACTAAGAACGTACTTCAAACACTTGGGCAAATATTGAGGACACGTCTTTAAATGCCTCCCTCGCATTCTCATCACCTTTGACACAGCAGCACATGCCTCGGCACCTGAAATTTCAAATACAAGATTGTATTTAATTGCTTATGAATATATTTATCCATCCATCACACCCATCCCTTACTGTATTTATTTTTAATAACTTATTTCTATTTTTTTTTTTTTTTTTTTTTTTTTTTTTTTTTTTTTTTTTTTTTTTTTTTTTTTTTTTTTTCTGCCTTGTGCTGCTGACTGTTCTTTTAAATATTTTGTTATGCCTGAATATATTTTTTTTTAATACTTCACTTAAATTATTAAATTTAGTAATTTATTACTTCAAGCTTAAGTTTATTCACACAAAGCATATAATGAATTTTGTGGTAGCAGTAAATGAGATGTAAAATTAGACTTAAATATGTCTGGAACTGGGACAATTTTACATCTCATCTACTGCTACCACAAAATTCATTATATGCTTTGTGTGAATAAACTTAGGCTTGAAGTAATAAATTACTAAATTTAATAATTTAAGTGAAGTATTTAAAAAAAAAATATTCAGGCATAAACAAATATTTAAAGAAACAGTCAGTACAAGGCAGAAAAATAAATAATGAGGGATATACAGATGTAGATGGAGTGGGGTTGCAGTTTCCAGCCCATGGTGCTGGGTTAAATTCCAGGATTTTTTTCCAGTAGACAGGAAGTAGTGAGGAGAACTTCCAAGCTGATGTCGGACATTGGTAATTGTTTTTATATATTTATTTATCTTTTATAATATATATTGATATTTAAAGTTTACCAAAGTTTATAAAACTAAGTACTGTATTACCTGCGTTCCCATAAGGCCTTAGGTGTTTCCACATTAAATACTGATCTCACAGACGATTTACGTAATATGCGTTTGTGCAACTTGCGCTTTTCTTTTTCTCGTACGTGGCCCAACGGATCAAATTTCACACAAACTGCGATCAAATTGATTATTAATCCAAACCAGCTGAGAAGAACAACTGCTAAAATTATGTTCATTATGGTGCCATCACAGGCACTGCTTTCTGGCTTCCAATGTGAATGTACAATAAAAATTCCAAAAACACTCCAGATGATTTCAATAATGTAAAGAAACAGTCGTATGTATAAAAGACGAGGAATATGTCGCCGTGGGTACACATTCACGATTGTTCCACGACTACTAACGTATATTATGAGTATTTCCAAGATGATTGTAGCAATAAGAATAAACAAAAATCCGCTGAAATACACTATGGTTTTCTGCTCGCCTTGACATGATTCGAAGTGATTGTGACCTGTGAAATGTATGATAAAGATGATTGACACTGCTATCATCCTGCAGAAAAATTGGACATTCAAAACAAATTTAGTGCAACAAATCTTTAAAAACAAATTAAAAAGTAAAAGTTAATTTGAATAAAATATTTGGACAATAATTTCCTATTTTAAAGTAATTATTTTATGTCTTCATTCACCACCACCCCACCCCCCACAACTAGTTGAAAATGAAACAAATTCAAAATGAAAAATATTAAAAAAAGTTTTGCATATCACTACTTCATTTCCATTTGAAAAAGACAGAAAAATGTGTAATCACTATAGACATCAAAACAAAGAAATAAATATAATTTACCAGTAGTTTAAGATATTAAAATTTGTATATAAGAAAATAAGGTCTTTAAATTTGATAATGCATGCAAAAATTTACCCATCAATATTTGATACACTATGTGGGCTCCTGTGTGGCATTTAGGGTGAAATCACTGCATCACTGAAGAAAGTATTGTTATATTAAAACACAAACCACAACAGGCATATCGAGGGGAGGGGTGGATGGAGTATAAAATTATACAGTGCGGTTTCATCAATATCAAAAGAAAATCAATTATATAATAAATAAAACAGGAACCTTACCACACAAATCGAGTCAGTAGAGATACAATACCAGGCAGTGCAAAATCATCACTTCCTACCGCCCAGCGACGGTTGAACGCCACCAGTGCTGGCATGCCTAACACATTGAAGTATTCACTTAATAAATCCTGAAAATAAATAGTTAGCAGTACAGTACAATGAATATTAGATATTTGTTTATGCATTAATCTATCCTTTATATAATAATTTCCCGTAGTGTATGGTTTGCAACTATCCTAATTGCTTATTAGATTTAGGTTTTGATAATTTATTTTACCTGTATTTCCTGGATGAGGCAGTTTAGTTTTCTGTCCCAGATTTTATTCCAGTTTCAAGTCAACTGTAAGAATTGAAGGATGCATACTCAAAATTACATGAAATACCAGAGAAGGAAACTGCTTATTGAACAAATTTATTGAACCATGAATGCATGCTGTACATGCTTGGAAATAGGTGTAGCTAGAGTGAGTTGTTTATTATTGCAATCAATATGCAACTGTCATCCATTTTTGGTTTGTATTACAACATGAAAGAAATGATAAACCCATCTGCTGGCAGTGAAGCATACCATTTGGCAATGTGTCAGAGGCTATGCACTGTACTTGAAGGTGATGATGATGATGATGATGATGATGATGATGATGATGATGATGATGATGATGGTGATGGTGATGGTGATGGTGATGGTGATGGTGATGATGATGATGAGAAGCCTATGTACTACAAAAAAAACAAAAAAAAAAAACAAGCGCAAACAAAAGACAGGACACCCCAAAAATGCTTACAATATAAAAGTTTAAATATTAAGCATTGGTGTTACAATTTTAGAAATCTGTAATAAAATAAACATAATTACAAACAAAACACAAAGCACAAACAACACAATAAGAAAGTACATGAAGACTTGTATGATTAAATGCTAATGACATCCCAACTAAAATAATCAATCGCTCAATTAAGTTTTGACTGGATAATTCATTAGTTGTAGGTTTAATTTTAATTGGTAGTTTAGTATGTATATATATTTTTTAATAATTTCTAATTTTACTGTGCAATATCTTTTGTAATATTGTATTTTTTAATTCTGTGTCCTATTCAGTAGGCCTGTGAATATTTGTACAATATTTGTTTTGTTATGAAAGCATTTTAGCCTTGTGTTAACACCAAAGATCTTATAAGATCTTTGGTTAACACTTTGTATTTTGCTGTTGTTTTATACCTGAATAAATAAATAAAATAAAGAATATTCACATCCACATCCAACATTCAATTTTCACTTATATGAATGTTTGGACTTGGAAAAAAATTATATGCCTCCGACCATGAAAACAGTCTAGATATATAATCGGTATCTTTATTAAAAAAAAACTCCTTCATAAAAAAATACATTGGTAGCCAAAAGCTAAATTGGTGTATTTTGTACAAAAGGAAAACAAGAACGAGAAACGGTAAAAACATCACATTAAAACAATACAAAATCAAACCCAAAGCATCAGTATAAGTTCCCTACGTTAAAATTGCACAATTTGAATTTTTCAAAATAATTTCATTAGATAAGTGGTGGGGCTATTTTAAAGACAATACAAAAAAAGAACCCAAACCATCAAAATTTCGCAAAGTTAAAAACAATTGCAAAATTAAATTTATTCTTCAATTAATTTCATTAGATAAGGGATGAGACTATTTTTAAAACGTTCAGTCCTCAGGAAAGGCATTTCATAATTTCTATGTTTACGAAGTTTCATTGATGAAATATTTTTAGATTTTGGGAACCAGTGACTAAATCTTTTTTTTATCTTTTCTTTGCTAATTTTTATAGCAAACTTTTTGCATAATAAAATCCTACGTTGTGTGAGTGATTCCAGCCCCAGTTTTTCAAAAGCATCCTGATAGTCAACATAATTGTTTACAAGAATGGACCGACATACACGTTTTTGCACCCTTTCCAAGGAAGTCTCCTGGTAAACTGTAAGTCCCCCAGACCACAGAGGAGCTGCATATTCTAGGATGGGCCGTATGTATCCCATGTAGACTGTTAACAGCTCATTATTATTGAAACCAGCCTCTTTTAATTTTCTTAACATGAATAGTTTCCTATTAGCCTTTTTGACCATTAGGTCAACATGATTTTCCCATTTTAGGTCACTGCTTAGAACTACTCCTAGTAGTTTGACGTTCTTAGCAACCGTTAAACGGTTATTGGATAAGTGGATGCTTATATCTGGAACATCATTGCGGCCAAAGTAGACTTGCATAACCTGACACTTGGAGGGGTTCAGTTTGAGTTTGTTGGTATGTGACCAGACAGAAAGTGAGTCAAGTTTAGCTTGAAGGGAACATTGACCCTCCACCAACCTACTCTCTCCAAGTGTCAGGTCATCAACATATTTCCAGACATGAACATCCCCATCAATAGGAACATCATTAAGGGCAGAATTAATAATGCAAAGAAAAATGATTGGTGCTAGGATAGTCCCTTGCGGGACACCTCCAGTTAAAATTTCCCAATCAGAGTAACAGTTTTTATACTTGCACCTCTGTTTGCGATTTGAAAGAAAGTCAACGACCTACTGCAAGATAGATGGAGAGATACCAAAGTTATATAAACAGTTAAAAGCTATTCGGTGATCGATCGAATCGAAAGCTTTGGTAAAGTCTGTAAGAACAAGAGTGCATATTGAACCTCGTTTCTCACAATTTGACATTAAAAAGTTATAAACATCTATCAAGCATCAAGCATCTATCAAGCATCAAAGTTATAAACATCTATATAGATATGCCTCCTCCACCAATTATTAAATGTTAGCCCACCAGTTTTTTTTTAAATTATTTTAATTTCCCTCAAAATGCCTCCAGGACATTCATGATGCTTCCATTTGCCAGTTGCACATTATTATTCTCCAGTCCTGCGAATGTTTCTTATTAGACATTTCTTATCTTTCTTTGACAGTTATTAAAAAGGCATCAGTTATGGAGAAAAGTATGATATGTAATGCTATACTATACTAGTTGAAATCTACCAGTTTCACAGGGTTGATACCAGGTTCAAATGCTCATTCAAAGTAAACTAATTAGACATATCTAAAAGAAGTTTCCTGAATAATCAGTAAGTCTACAGTACAATCCTTGGGGCGTATGGGGTGGGGGAAGCAAAAATGAGAATGTGGAACTAAATCCCAGAATTCGTACCTAAATCCCTATTCCAATGAAAACTGAGTGGTAATTTTGTAGTATATTAATCCCCGC